AGTAGAGTAGAGATAAGAAGAGAGAGAGAGAGAGAGAGAGAGAGAGAGAGAGAGAGAGAGAGTTATATTATGCCATATGTGCACATTGATTATGCATGTCTAATATGATATCTATTCTAGCAGTCATTTAAGTGTCAGTTGTTTCAAAATGGGTGTTTCCCTTACTTGTCAGTGTCTCTTCAGAATTGGATGTTATCAGACATTGTTTATGATATTGGTGATTGAACTGTAAGTTTTTACAGTTAGCAACAGCACACATCGGTACCATAAAGTTTGTACCAGTAGATGGGTATGTATGTGTTATGTGCCTCTTCATTATCAGACTGATCCAAGATTTACTTCATTTAAAATTGACATTTCTCTGGACTGTCAGTACACCTTTCACAAAATTTGGAGTTTATGGTGAAGGATTTGATGCATGGTTGTCATCTTATTGGCTTTCTTAAAACTACTCAATTTTCAATTCATTTTGCCTGGATCTGAACAATATAAAAGTAGCATATTAAAGGAATTGGAAGATGAGATTGAGGTGGGTTGTGATTGATGGTTTAGAACCTTGCATGTGATCTTGAGATCTTTGGCCATTTTCTAAGGGTGGGTTACTTCGTTCTTTCATATGTTTTTGGGTCTGATGCCTCTGGTTTAGGATCTGTTAAAGGTTTTGGTACACTGTCAGATTTTGTCTCTCCCATTGAGGTGTCATGTCCTGATAGTTTCAGTGGAAAGATTGTTTGTTTTAAGCAACAGTGGATTCATTGTATTTTGTATGCAAAGAATGGTTTCTCAGGTGTCATGGGATGTTTACAGAAGAAGGTGATGCATTGAACAAGTGATTATGGCATTTGTTGCTGCCTGTTTGTTCGTGGCCTAGCTTGTCACAGTGAGGTAATTGAGGGTAAGAAACATCCCACTTTTCCTTCCCTTTTTTGACCTTCATTTATTTTTTCTCAAGTGTTTTTGTACTTCTTCTTGGATTCTTCTATTATTGATTGTGGATTGAGCAAAGGGATGATTTCATTAATCCCCACTCTATGAGTGATTTGTAGTTTTGCTTGATATTTCTTTTTGGTTTGATTTCTTCTTTTTTTATATCTCAGATTCAATGTTTGGGTCAGTTGAACTGAAAGCAAGGGCTCCGAGATGTCGAAGTCACTTGCTGCAATTATTGGAGGTGCTGCAGGGTTTGTTGCATTTGTTCTCATAGTCCTTGGTTGCTTTTGGTTTTTCTTTTTGCATCGCAAGAGTTCAGCAAATAGAAACTCAGAAACTGGTTCATCGGATCCTTCTGCACAAGGTATAAATCTCCTGTGCAAGTTTTAAAAGTGGTTTGGCCTATGAGATGGGGATTATATTTTTATTTTGTATAGTCATAATAGAAAATAGCTGAATCTTTTCATTGAATTTGGGATACTTGTACTATCAAGCTTAAGTATCTCATCCAAAATCATGATTATTGCACAAGATAAAGATATTGTTGTTCAGGATCCATTACAGTTCATTGTTTATTTGTAGCAGAATGGAACAAAGGAACTATGAGGCAGTTCACACTTGAAGAGTTGGGGCAAGCAACCAAGCATTTCAGTGAAAGCAATCTCATTGGGGAAGGTAGATTTGGATTGGTGTTTAAGGGCCTTCTTCGAGATGGGACTGTTGTTGCCATCAAAAGGCGTTCAAGTGCTGCACGACCAGAATTTGTTGAGGAGGTATGACAACAATTAGATGATTAGTGTCAATACTTCTTTACTTCCTTGATCCCTCTAGTTACTCAGAGCTGTGTAAGGCCCTAACTACTAATTTTGGTAGGTAAGGGTACAATGCAGTTACTAAATCAGACTGATCTTGATGATCAAATATTGATAGTGACTGTAGGCCAAATACGATAATATTTTTCATGTGAATGAGATTCCCATCGTCCTCTTTCTCATGATCACTTTGTAGTCCTCTTTCTCATGATCACTTTGTAGTCCCTTTGCATTGCTGCCCTTGATTAGAGATGAGTCTGAATTGTGTATGGATCATGGGAACCATTACTGCAGAAAAGATTTAGCTCATGCTACTTGGAAGTTGGGTTTTTTTTTTTGAAGTGTTAACTGTTTGGAAGTTGGGTTATTTAGAGCTTGTTTAGATCTTGTTCCATCCCTGGGGCCATATTTTGTACTGTGATAACTTGGGATTTATTAAGTACACCACTAGTCTCACTTGTTTAGATTTAGCCGGCAGCTATTTTACTGACTTAGCAACGAATACTGCCAATAGATGATCATACTGGGTCGTTATCACGACAACATGGGATTCCTATAATTGAATCCTGATAATTTAAATTAATGTGATTTTTAAGATGAAACGATGGCTATAATGCTGGGAATGAATTTAATAAACAGATTAACTTTGGGAAAAGTTTAAATGAGGTCCTTTCAAATGTGTTTCCATTCCAAGAAATTATCTTTGAGTTAGATATAGGATCTGAAATACATCCCAAGTCACTCTAGATGCATTTCCGCTTTAGATCAATGATTTTGAGGTTTGCAGAGGGGCGATGTGGTTCAATTAGAAGGCCCTAAAATGGCAAGGGGAAGGCCCAAAAGGACGTGGATAGAAATAGTACGAAGAGATATAGTGACTAATGGTATGATTGAAGGTATGGCTCTTGATATAACATAATGCTAGAACATGATTCATGTAGCTGATCCCAAATAGTTGGGATAAGGCTCGGATGATGATGATTATCCATGTTTTTGCGGCTTACGAAACAGTCTAGATCTAATGATTTGCAAAGAATTAAACAAATGGCGATGAGTGGTCCAAAACCAAAGTTTAAAGTAATCTATTTTTAAGATACAAAATCTATCTTTTTCATATTCATGACCATGGTGAGCCAACCCGAAATAGTGACGATAAAGCTCGGATGATGATGATGGTTCATGAGTGACCATGGTGGTTAAGATCATAGTTGTTGGGATTGGAAGGGGGATCAGGATCAGGAGGGGGGGCGATTGTGAAATTCTAAAAGATCCCTATGATTGGGATCACCATCCGTACAATGCACATGTTAGGGATCCAGATCCCCAAATGTTAGGGATAAAGATTCTAACGTTTTGGATACCTTGATCTCGAGCTTTTGGGATTTTGATCTCAACCTTTTGGGGATCTTGCTGCCAATCTTAAAAGTGTATGATAATCTAGAATTATACTTACTATTTAAGGTAGGGATCTCCTTATTTATAGCAAGCAAGCAACACAACTATATTAAAAGCGTAGTTATATTGCTAGCTGGCTACAAATAAAGAAAATCTCAGTTTGGTTGTTGTCTTGGTCTTTAAGGTTGCTTGAGATCTATAACTGCAGGAATCTGGAACTCTAACAATGGGAATTGAGATCCCAAAATTTAAAAATCGATATCCTTGAGAGATCCACTCCGGGAGCGACAGAATCGAGTTCTTAGAAGGGATCGCCTACGAAAGTAGGAGATCCCGGTAACTATGGTTAAGATTATCGAGCTGTGAAATTCTAGGTCCAAAGTGTATCTCTAAGATGGATTTTGAAGGAGTTCACCTTTCAATAGGTGCATCACTTGACACATCAAAACCACATCAAAACCCGATCCCTTAAACTTTTGAATACAGAAATAAAATTTAGGTACTAAACCTTTGATGAGTATTTATAAATGATAACATATGTTAAAAGCATCCATTTCTTCTCATTCTTCAAAGCATTTATGACTTACCTATAAGGAGTTATTCATGGCTTGAGCTTTATATTTTATAATTAAAGTTTCCCTTCCATTGCCTACTTTGTTGCGCAATCAATTTCCCATAATTTTATTTTAGAATTAGATTTAGACAATATAGTTGTCATATTTATCATTTCATCACATATTTACCTGTTTAATTTTTCAATTTCATACATGTTAGTGTAAATATCAATCTGGTATAATTCATGTTTAACCATTATTAAACAATTTTTTTTTATTTTATAACAATTTAGGTTACTGAACTCTTGTAAAATTCCATATAAATTCCTGGCGAAAAGGATCCTTCATTATACCACGATAAAATTCTCTACCATTAATAGCCCCAATACCAATACTTATTACTGATGGGGAGACACTCATCAGAAAGTTATTTGGAGAGGATGTCAAACTTGGGCCCCTAAGCATGATCCTTATATCAATGAAATGATATTTTTAGGTAATTATCAACAGGGATGTATTCCGTCGTTAATTTACTGTAAGCATGTAGCTAAGAAGGAACAATTGTCTTTCAGGGAAAAAGAAAGTACTAATAAATGAACAATAAATGGTGTTAGAAGTCAACTCTTAAAATTTAAACATGAAGCTCATATTTTTCTATTATGCGAGAGCACCTGTTATCTTGTAATTGCCTCAGGAACTGCTCGATCTTTTCCATAAACACGTCAGAGGGAATTCTAACAACAATCTGCATAGACTCAGATTGTTTGGGCATGGTGAATTCCTGGGCAACTTATGAGATGAGGGCCATCCTTATGTCATGGGAAGCTTATTTACAACTATTATTTCTCATATTATGCAGCATGTTGTTTGCTCTTAATTGGAACGGTTTTTGTATGATTTTTGGCATATTGTTAATCTGCTCCTTGTAGACTCTTTTGGAGTTGTTTCTCCGACAAAATTTCAATAAATCTTGTGGTTTACGTAAGCTATTGGATATTGGGTTTTTACATAACTATTTCACTGGAGCCTTTTCACTTATAGCTGCAACTCTGACCATGCTTTATATCGTGTTCATTCTGTTAACTTTTCTATGATTCTTGGTGGGTGCAATAAGCTACATCTGCTAATTTTTCTAGTCAATCTACTGTATAATTCAACAGGTGCACTACCTATCAGAGATCCGGCATCGCAATCTAGTTAGCCTTCTTGGCTACTGCCAGGAATATGATCAGCAAATGCTAGTATATGAATATCTGCCAAATGGAAGTGTTTCCAGTCATTTATATGGTACTTTCCATTTGCCACTGGCTCACTGCTACTCTTATCAGCTTTGAATGTTATGGTAATGATACCTTCATGGATGTTTTAACTCAGATACAGGTCTGGACCCCACAACAAAGCTAGAATTCAAATATAGGCTCTTTATTGCTTTGGGAGCGGCTAAAGGTGATGTATGTGTGCAGCCTGAAATATTTTTCTTTACAAGGAAATCTCAATACAAGTCACAAGAAAGTTATGTTTTAGAGACTCACAGGTTTATTTCAGGCATGCAATAAATCTTGTTTTTTTTTTTTAATGATAAAACTCTTGAATATCTTTTTGAATGAAATAATTATTTTTACTTTATTCTTCTTTCTTGCCTTTTAATATACAGGTTTGAGCCACTTGCATGGTATGGCACCTCCTTTGGTACACAAGGATTTCAAAACAAGTAATGTCCTTGTTGACGAGAATTTCATTGCCAAGGTGGCAGATGTGGGTCTCTCTAGATTACTAGAGAGAATTGACGAAGCCAGTTCTTCTCGAGTTACCCGTGGCGATGTTTTCCTGGATCCAGAGTATTTTCATTTCCTTGTAACCCAAGAAAATGACTGCATATATCTAAATTTTTCAAGAGGAAGGAAAAAACGTTTCATTTGTGTTACTGTTAGTCATAACTAACTTCTAAGTACATTATCTTGGTCTTTTTTATCAATTGTATGATTCTTTGCTCTATTTTGTAGGGTTGGAGATGCAGGATCATTCTCTGAAAGCAGCGATGTGTACAGCTTTGGGGTGTTTCTCTTGGAACTCGTAACAGGTCGGCAAGCTGGGAGTCTGAAGTTGTCAGAATCAGTCAGAAGCCTATATGAATGGGTAACTAAAAGAAAATTGATCAACCGAGATGAAGTTTTGCTATACAAACTAGGTTTAGTTTTATCAATGAAATGCCTAGGTGTAACAAAGTTGACTTGCCTAAGGAGGTGATGCTAACCCCAAACTCATTATCAAATGGAAACCCCCAAAATGATCAAACTAAATTGTCTCATTTTTCTTAAAAGCAAATAGCCTTGCTGACTATATCACTGAGAAAGTGATGAATTTGGACCATAATTATTATGATTGGACTGGCAGTCGAACCAGTGAGGGGACCTGTTCAACTATTGGTCAAATTGGTTGGACAATAGTTTAAGAAAAATGAGCATAATAGTTTGAAAATATGAAATATGTTAAATAAAAGTTTCTCATTTTTGTTTAATTGGTCGAACTAGTCATTTGCAATAACCGGTTAAACATCGACTTTCACCAACTTTCTCACCAAACAAAGTTTTTTCTTTAGACCGGACTTGCCAAGGCATTTATCGACAGTTGGAATGAATGACTTGATTTGGTCTTCATAACTATGATCTGGACCATAGTTGTCAAGATTGGGCTGGATTAGTCAGTCCGACAGGTCGGACCGCCAACCGATGCTATAAATAGTCTAGTCCAAAAAGTTTAGTCAAAACTTGGTTAAAACCAATGTTTGGCCAGTTTTGGTCAGTTGGACCAAGTTTTGACCAGTTCAACAAAAAAAAAATTTATTTCATATTTTTAAGCTATTATTCTGTGTTTTTTATTTTTCTAAAATCCAGTTCAACCCGTTCAACCAGTGTTTGGTTTAGTTTTAATTGGACCAGACCCCTCACGATTTCATGGCCGGTTTGATATTTGATAACACTAATTTGGATTTTTCTACCATAGAGATGGACGTTATGTTCCTATCTTGTCACCACATAAGCTATTTAATTATTGCCGATCTGCACATGTAGATTTTCAAGCTCGTGAATCATATGAATAAGATAAAAGCCACCAAATCATAAAACATGCCTGGTTTGTGTCCAAGAGGCACCCTGGGAGTTGTCTTAGATTGATCCTTTGAAGCTTTTTAGAGAATTGGTTGGGAGTATCGGTTTGGCCAAGAAGAAAGGGATCTAGAACAAAAAGGTATTCTATGTTGACCCGCTTCTGAGAATTTTTCCTATTGTGGCCTGCTGATATCATATGCCTAAGATAACCATCCTTAAGGAAGACTTCAGACAACAAAACTAGTTCAAAGTTCTGCCATTACAGCCATCATTTCCATCTTTTCGACATAAGATGAAATCCAGAGTATCAATGTCAAAGTGGGAATCTTGATTATGAATGACAGCATCTTTCTAAAAAAGTTATCATATAATACGTCATTACACGTATGTCTGTGTATGCAGTCGTGTGTGCTTGCTTGCTTGTGTGTGTTAAAGGACTATTTAAACTGAATAATTCCCTGGAAACTTGACTCTATGAATATTGTTATCGAGAAACATACAGAGGTTTCCCATTTGTTGTTGATGGATTTTACTAGTTGTAATCTTTTACTTCTTCTTCATCTCTTATTTTCTTTTTTTGATAACTTGTTTGGTATTTGCATGTTACAAAGTTCTTTGGTAATACAAAACCTTGACAGTTATGCCTTTCATGAAGGTGGAATCATGCGTGGAGTCGAATGAGTATGGTTCAATTGTAGACCCAAGGCTTGGGCCTGGTTACACTAAGGAAGGAATGGGAAACCTTTTCCGCTTAATTCTTCGATGCCTAAGTTTGAATGGGGGGAGGAGACCAGCCATGGAACAAGTCTCAACAGAGCTTGACCGGATTCTAGAGGAGGAGATGACTCTGACAACAGTCATGGGTGAAGGCACAGCTACAGTAACTCTTGGGAGCCAGTTATTCACCTCTTCTACGTAAGAGGACGATAATTGTTATTTGTGTCAGATGATGCTGATTGATTGATTTTTTATGCTTGTAACATAGTTTGAGCTTGTGGTAACCCAAGTTTTATTCGATTGATTGTATCAATTGTTACAATATATGATTGCTACTTTTATTTTGGTTAAATTTTTGTGGCTTCTGATAACAGCAGCTCTGAAAGAAAACTAGCTGTAATACTACACATTGAGAGAGAAAAGAAGCAATTTCTATTTTCAGTAAAACGGAATTGTTGCTGTCTGATCTTCCATCTGTTCTGGCTTGTAGTATTCTTTGTTTATGGGAAGCCTTGATTCTTTTTTCATATTATGTTCTTCAGCTTGATTTGGTGGAGTTTCCTATGTGAACTCATGATCTGGTGAATCATTTACTTTTGGGACACTGCTTTCAGGAAAAGATGATTTTTTATGAGATTGGACGCTTGTTTGGGTACGATCATTATTTGAAAAAATGGATTGGTTGGGGGAATCAGTCCCCGATAGGCAGATCAGCGATCCGGATGAGCTATATGGCCGAGTGAATCGGTATATAAAAAAAATAAAAAAATAGAGAACAAGTTAATCAATTGAAAAAAGTAAAATAAAATCCAAGGCCATATTGTCTGGTACGTGATATATGGTGGGGAAAAGATCGGTTCCAATGATTCTCAATCCAGATTGGGTGATTTCAATTCCGGACGACAACTTTTTTAAACCATGATTTCAAGGAAATGGGACATTGTACCGTCCCTAACGTTCACATGTTTTTCGTAGAAAGGTCTTGCATACAAGAGAAAGTCGATGTGGTATTCTCGTAGATTTGGGAAAGCTCTCTAGACTTTCCCTACCGTATATAAGTTACATATTCCCCCATCTACCTGTCCAATTTAAATGGACGGCTGAGGTTGCTTGTCTTAAAATATCACGAGTCAGCCTGTCACAAGTCGGCCACCAACCTTTTGATAGATCCAACTTCTTAGAGTATTTTATGTTTAATTCTTTCTACAAATCATATGACTGTGAAGTTTGGCATGTGTCATCATCTCAATGGGTACATCTAAACATCATTAAAAAAAATATTTTTAAAATAATAAAATAACTAAAATACCCTTGAGACTTTCAAGGGTATTTTTGGTTATTTTATTTTATCGAAAATATTGTTTTTTATATTTTTTGCACGTGCGAGGTCAAGAGATGAGTTGACACCCAAAATTTGATGTGATAATGTTTTGTAAATAAAAGTTAGAAACATGTTTGGATCATCTCAGGCGTCCATTAAAATCAAATGGCTAGATGAGGATAAATATATAATTTATATATGGTAGGAGAAGTATTGAAAGCTTTCCTCTTAAGAATAAAGGCTGGCTAATTATTTCCTGAAATGTTTCATTTGGATCGAATTATTTGAAGTGCTCAAGCCGCTCCATATGAGTTCTTAAATGTTGGTTGAATCAAAAGAAATGGATGAGAAGACATATCAGGCCAAGTAACACAGTTAGCAAGCTTTACGGTAGCTACATGTAAAATAATCACTAGGTATGCCGCCACTAATGAGTCCTTGGGTGGGCAGAGAGAGAGAGAGAGAGAGAGTATGCGATGATAGGGGTGACCAGTATTTGGGATTGTATATTATAAAAGTATTTATCAGTCACAATTGGTACTAACCATTAGCCCATAGATGTCAAATTGGATGGTTGGAGTGTGTCACAAAATTCGAAAAAACTTTTTGAGCTTTGAATTTAATTAATAACATATTCACAACTACATGATTTGAAATATAACGGACAAGAATGATTATAACCTCTTTGTATTAAAAGTAATTAATCTCTCATAAAAGATGAATGAAATATGAGGAATGAGAATGAAACCTCAATTTGGCCTTGGGTTTTTTCAAGAAACACAGATAGCAGCACATACAAGCACAGTGAGGTTCAGAGCCTCAAGGCTCTTCGCTTCATGGTTCAAAACATGTCCACAACAAAACGGAATAGCGTTCTTCCATTCCATTTCACAATGGTAACACGCACCGTTAAGGCTAAAAATGACATTTCAAAAAATGGTGAAAAAAAAAATGAAAAAGTGCGTCATAAGGTTGCAACGTTGTTTGTACGTCACAATAATCTCCACTATCCAATCCGTCTATTTCCTTTTGACGGTGTCATTTTTTTTTTTAGGTGCGTGAGTGCCGATTTGACATTTTCTTAAAAGGCATAGAACTTTTCTAACATGTATCAAAATAATCTATCAAATCTATACTGTCTAACAAAAATGAGAAAAAAGGTTTCTATGCTTCCCGTACAGCATAGAAATTCTATCCTCTCCCTACCATCCACATATCCAATTTTGATCAATAGAACCACTCATCGTTTGATCTGAAATCCGACATCTTAAGTATTTTATTTTTTATTTTTTTTATACAAATTGTATGAATATGAAATTTGGTATGTACCATCTCCTCATTGAGGCGCACCTATAAAAAATATTAAAAATAAATTTTAGATAAAATATAATAACCAAAATACCCATTAAAACTTTCAAAAGGTATTTTGATCATTTTATTTTATTGAAAATATTTTTTTTATATTTTTCGCTAGTACGAGTTTAATAGAGGTCGAAATTTTGGGGTTAAAATAGTTTATAGAAAAAAATTAAAAATAAAATAGTGTAGAGACATGACATTGTGATAGGGCCAATCTTAACCCTCCATTTAGAATGGACGGTTGGAAAAAAAAGAGGATAAAACTTCTATGCTATAGAAGCATAGAAAGCTTGTCCAAAAATTAATTATGTAAACACTATAAACCTTACTTTTATTGGTTATGTTGCCAATTTAGATAAAGAAAAATACACAAAGACATCATTTACTTTTAATACAAGAAAGTTACAATCATTCTAATCTGTCTTTTTACAACTAAAGTGGAGGTGCGTGTAGATTGACTAGATTCAAGAGCCCAAAAATAATTTTCTCGAATTTTGTAACATATAGAAAGCCATCCAATTCAACATCTCATAGTTAGGAGCCATGAGTAATTGTAACCACTTTGTGACAAAGATAAATATTCTCATAGTATACAATCCCTTTATATAAAAGAGAAAGTTAATATAATGTCGAGGCTCTAAACAATCAAATTAAAACGCACCTTAAAAATTCACTAAAATAAGTTGTTTTGATGTCCAAAAATCCTCAAATTGGCCATCCCAACCTCAAGATGTATAGGCATGAGAAAAAATAGATTTCAAATCTTGAAATAGTACATCTTGTCATGCATATTTGAACCGTCAATTTTAAAGTTTTTCAAGTGTTAATAGATCTGTTCAATCTACACTATTTTTTAAGCTTTAAATTTTATAATTAGAGATGAAAATAAATTCTCAAGCTAACACAAAGATTTCCCGTATTGAAACAATATCTTTCGATATTATTTGAAGGTGTGCTTTACTTTGATTGTTTAGAACCTCGGCCTTATACAAACCACACCCTTATATAAACCACACCCGATGGAAACCAGGATCTAATTTTTATGTGTCCGGGGACACAGTTATTGGACTGCATCTACTAATGTTCTCCCCATAATACTAGAGTTCACACCAAATCAATTCCAACAAAATCTCCACCTTCCATTGCAAATGAATGATGGATGCATCACGGGCACAGTCCTATACATGCATCCCTTGATGTTTACACTTCTCAGATAAATATTTTCAGTAGGTTATTTTTGTGTAAAAATACTGCAACACTTCAATTGCATTTACATAAGATCAAGGGTAAGTGGCATTAGCATCACAGTGACCGCTGTTTTGTGATAATGGCCATTTTTTTTCCCTATCAGCAGCTTGAAGTTCATAAACTACAAGAAAACTGATGTACAAGAGTGTGTATTTCCATCTATGTGCAAATCGAATTTATGCACAGTAGACTCTTCAAAACAAAACTCAAAATTGCCACCCTCAGGGAGGAATTGGGAACTCAATCCATAGCTGGTCCATCAGCCTCCTCATTTGCCTCCCTCCAAGAGGGAACGACCTGACACTTCTAGTTCACTTCCCCAGTCCCATGTTTTATCAAACACTTCCTGAATTGCCACGGCAAGAACTTCCCTCTGCCTCACTGTATAACATTTCTTGAATCTCCATCAATTATCAGAAGTTCCTACATCTCGCAGCAAGGACTAGGCTACGAAATCGTTAGAAACTCAGAGTGGGAATAGGCCAGAATAGTTAGATTCCTGCACTTGTGCTACCTCACCAGACCAACAAAATGCCAAGCGTGGGTTACACTCTTACTAGCCCAATAGAAATTGAGTTTGGTACATCTTCATGGAGGGTCCATCCATTCCAGTTTCTTATTCCTTAATTCTTCCAATATTAAATGTCCCGAGGAATTATCTCCCAAGAATTTCCATCCCAAGAAATTTCCGAGAACAACGTATGACATTATGCTGGCATAGCAGTAGACAGGAGTACAAAGAAACAAATAATACCATTTCGCCATGGCATAAGTAAAACCTTAAGAAAAAAGACAACTAAGAATGCCTATAGAAAATTACTTGAAGAAACGAAAATAAAAACCAAAAAATGCCCTATATTCGTACTGGATATGAATGGAGCTCAAAGAGAGTTTCCTCATAAAAACTCAAGACCAATAAAAAAAAAGAGAACAGATAGTTACACACACACACACACACACACACACACATGCACACACATAGCAACAGCCACAGATGAGGAAGAACCTGATAAAGAAATACAGCATTTCTAATGAATTTAATGTGCAAGAAAAAAAAAAAAAACCGAAAACTATAGAAAGGGCATATACTAGAAGAATTACAAACTAAGAACAGTAAACAACAATCAGAACCAAGTGATCTTTCTACTCTTGTGAATAGTCAACAGATTTTCAAAGTTCTTTATTTCATATTAAATTCCATATGATGATGATGATGATGCAAGTAACTGATCACCTATTATAAATTACAAGCCAACCAGTCGAAGAAACGAAAAAGGAAAGAAAATAGGCAGATTTAATATAATGTGCACCAAACCATGATTTATACAGGAGCAGGAAAATGCCCAATATCTACATTAAAAACTAACTCAAGTTGCTCTAGAATTTTTACAAGATCATTTTTCATTAGAGCTTGTATTAATTGGCAGTGGCACATTAAGTAAATGAATACAGATTACAAGAAGATCCCATAATCACATTACATTATACACAACATGATTATTATTACAAAGATACATACCTTTAGACAGTGGCCCTGCCAATTTTACATCAAAAAATGAAGATCGCACTTTCTGTGTTTCTGTTTCTTTTGTCTCCCTTTGATGCTTATTGAAGGGAAAAAGCTAGAACCACTCTGCCATGCATCTAGGGTAAAAGCCCATTTGAGTTGCCACACTAGAAAGAGCTTGAAATTCTTTCTGGACTTTCCTCCTCTCGTAAAACACAGGGCATGATAGGGATGTACATTTCTCCCCACTTTTCACGACCCAATCACCCCCACCACAATGCCTGCATATCTGATATTGAGCAAACAGATGTGTTAATGCTGCTCATTTAAACCCTAATTCTAATCTTATCAAAAACCCAAAAGAAAAAAAAAGAAGAAGAAATCTCTCCCAAACAATAAATAAATAAGATTGTACATGTATGTGCACTTTGTGTTTCGAGCCGAATGGACAACTTCAAGGAATAGGTTTAGGAAGGTTAGTTTTTGTGGCTAGCATCATACTTTTTTCATTTGGCAAACATAGCATTGGGTCATGGTCCAGCTTTCCAAGCTACATTTCGATAGTTACATCACTAAGATTTTAGATGGAAATACTATTATAGTAACAAATCTTAATGAAAATCTCAAAATCCTGTAATGTTATCATGAAAGTTTCTAAAAATGCTATATCTCTGATACAGATTCAGAAAATTTTAACAGTTCCACGGCATATAATATGGGTTCTTAATATCTCAACATGTTTTCTGGAGATGCTCCGATTTTTCTAATTTTAAATGTTCAATTAAGATCTTACCAAAGGAGAAGTCAGTTTAGTAAAGCTTACAGCACTTAGATGATGGATTTCCCTCTCCAATTTTGATGTCCTGCCAACCATAGCTGCCACCACAACAGCCCCCTTTTTAGAGCACTTGTCACATAAGTCAGCCAAAGCCTGAACTACCTCTCCACAAAGCGCACAATGCCTTGAAGCATAATAAAAATCTATTCTAGTCCTGCTTGTTTGTGCCCTCGTTTGAACCCCATTTTCATTATCCAAAAATGCTCCAGGGCGCTTAGCCAAAGTGGGTCTAACTGGACGAGCCATTTGCGAGAACCAAAGCCTCAAATCTACACCCAGAAGTCCAAATATTCTTTGCAAGGCTGGAATTATCTGTTTATTTATGTAGTAAAGATCATTGACTCGATATGGAGAACCAATCTCCAAAATATCCAAGGGATCAACCACCAAGTCTATGAGACGTGCTCCTGGTTCACCATGGACCACAACATAGGGTACTCTCTCCCCATAATGTGGTTCGGCCCTAGGATCAGCCCTCATTGCTTTAGTGGCCACTATTGCAGCTGGAGGAAGAGACGATGCCCTAGAACTGTATGTACCCAAGCGAACCTCCTTGCAGAAGATGAAATCCTGAAGGGAAACCTTCCCACTCAAGATTTTAATCCATTGACGCTCCAAGTATAACCTAACCTGCAACCATGATGGATATTTTGAGTTCAGCAGCCTATAGAACAGTATGCATTGCAAGCTTAAAAAGTTTTGATGCATCATTTCCCTAAAAGAAAGAATTTGTAATATTAAGATTGTCCCGACTGAGGACCAGAACCAACTGTTTTCTTCCAATTGAAATTTCTGAAAATTTTCATCCGAAAAATGATTTTTTCTAACAATTTATATATAAACATTCAGTAACGAACTATCATTTGGAAATTGGGTGAATTTCATATCTGATTTTCTTCTATCGTTTGCATTACATATTTGATTTCTGGAACTTACTTGCCATTTCGCAATTTCTTTCTATTATAAATATGAAACATACCTATCCCATTTTGATAGATTTCAGCTAAAACGAATGGGTTAACCGATGATGTATAAATTTTCGAACATTACATCCATTTCAGTTTTGATCAATGGAATTTAGTGATAATGCCCCCAGGAAACATAAATCAAGCATTATTACTCATCACAGTTGAGTAGCATAAACTTTATCCTTGGGATATTACTTTCTGAATAGCATCAAAGTAAAGAGTAAAGGAGACCACCCATACATTGAAAATGTCTTGGGTTTCAAAAAAGATCCTCAGTGATCGCTCCAAGGTCTTTGCGACTGCAGGACATGCATCTCTGCGTACAGTCTCAATACCTTTAGCACCAAATGTAGGAGTTTCTTGCTCAGGCCTCCCATAACTGTAACCAACATAACGCTTCTTTGTGAGCAAAAAACAGGGATGATACACCTTCTCCATTTTCAGCGTAACTGGATAAGGATTTTGTGCAGTGATCGCTGAGGCAATCTCTTGCCCAATCTCAAATGCTTCTTCACGTGAGCGCCCTTTAAGGAGGACAAACATGCTGCATTGAATACGAACCTTATGAATTATATTGGCTGGCTTGGAGACATAATCAAATGGCTACTACTTGCTACAATCTAATGGACTACAGAAAGCCAAAATAAATTGGGATCACCATAGCCCATTGATATGATAGACTCTCGGAGAGAGAGTTGGACCCACAAATGATTTCATGTCCTACTTCCTGCGGGACCCAATCTATCTGAATCACCAATTATCGGTTTCATCGAAACGTCATGACCCTAACCAAACATGGTTTTCCGTAGCCCATTTGAATGGAAAAATTACCTGTCTGTATCCCCGTAGACAACTCTAGCATTCCAATGTTTGTGTGCATTTACAAAACAAATTGCCTCTTCCAAGGTTCTACGGCCACACTGGACTATGCTGTCTGCTATTTCTGCACAAGGCATTCGACCACTAAAGCCAGCAGCTGTATAGCCATATGTTACATTTGCTATCAGCTTAAGAGCAAGCTGTCTTGCATTAAATATCTGGAAAACAAAGGAAACCATTAGAAATGTTTAGAGAAAAGGAATAAAAAATCCATTAAACAAAGTGAAGTCGAAAAATGTCTATGAAAACACACTAACCAAGTGGCGGGAACAATTTGAGCAAACTTGTAACCAGATTTTACCTTGTGAAGAACTTTTTGCGATGTCGTCAACTTTTTCATTGCCTGCTTCACCATTATTCTAGTCAACAGGATTTCCTCTAATAAGCAGGGAAGCACACCTTTACGAATCTGTATACAAAAGGTCAATCTGTATCACTGCAAATGCACTCACAACAATAAAGAGAGGTGATTGTAACAGAGATAGAAATCATTAGGAGCTAGGTTCATTATTTATAGGAACTTATGGCTAGTTCATGATTTTTAGATATTAATGAAAAAAGGACACCCCAATTAATTGGGAAAAGGATAAAATGATGATGATGATGACCGAAAAAAGGACACGAGGATATGTGTAATACACAAACCCAGACTAATCCATGCTTTGTGGCATGTCCACTGAGTCAAGGAAGCCCTAAAACAAAATGTACCCTGGACAAATACCATGAAACAACGCGATATAAATGAAAGTCAAAAACTTGTTATCTCGCATTCCAGAAGCTGGTAATAGTAGCCATGGAGAGACAATCAGAATAGTAGGCATGGAGGGACAATCATACGAGTTATCACATTGTCATGCTATACAGAATATATCAGGAAACAATAATACTATGGCCTTATTTATAGGTAAAAGGATATTTAAAACAAGGGTGTGGTTTGTATAAGGTTGCAACCTTAAACAATCAAATTAAGGTGCACCTTCAAATTTTGTTATAAATATAATTTTAGTATAAAAATTCTTAAGATAACTTGAGTATCTATTTTCATCTCTAATCATAAAATGTTAAACTCCAAAAATGATTCAAATCAAGTAGATTTATAAATGCTTGAAAATCTAAAAAATGGACGGTCCAGATACTGTGTTGCAAGATACACTATTTTTCGGACTTGAAATCTTTTTTACTTTTCATATTCATACATCTTGATGTCGAGATGATCAATTAGAAGGTTTTCCAACAGCAAAACAAACTTTTATGATGGATTTTTTAGGTGCACCTTAATTCTACATTTTAAGGTTGCAACCTTAGATAAATTTTTTCCTTAAAACAATGGAGAAAATAGCATGTCTTCATTTAGAAATGAGGTCAGTAGGCAAAGTTAAAGGGCAGATCTCGGTTAAAGTTAAAGGGCAGATCTCGGTTATGCTACACATTTCCCCATCAAGAGGTAAAGAACGACAAAGAAATTACCTAAAAGTCATTAGGAGCATCGCATGTACTTCAAGCTAAAAAGGTCTTGGTCCTAATGACAAACTCCATGCATGCAAAGAACCCATACATCTCAATTGTTGTCTTTTACACTTTTCACAGCGACAAGGATTCTCAGATTTCATCGAATGCTGAATCAACATTGATGGCCCCTTAATTAAGGTTCAATTGGTTCTCCAAATAAGTTGCTCCAAGCTCCAACCACCAAACTTGATGGCCTTTTCAAGTGCAAATTGAATCGTCTACATTAGGGTGCTTAAATGATGAACACAATGGGAACATAGCAGTAGAAGGAACTGTGCACAAAAATGAGGGTGGAAGTCATAGATACATTTGTAGGATTAGGATATTGGAAGTGAAAGAAGCTTTGAAAAGGATGAAGACAAGAAAGGCTTTAGGATAAGAAAGGCTTTAGGACCAAATGGTATTCCAATGGACATTTGGAAGTGCATAGGGAGATTGATATTGACTAGCTGGCCAAGTTGTTCAACAAGGTGTTGAGAACAAAGAAAATGCAAAAAGAATGGAGAAGTATTGTAGTACCTATTTACATTGTGTGAACTTTCAATGGATCAAACTTATGAGCCACTTTATGAAGGTGTGGGAGAGAGTGATTGAGCAACACCTAAGGCATGAAACAAGTGTATCAGAAAATCAATTCGGTTTCATGCTAGGGAGGTCAACAACCGAGGCTATTTTCCTACTCAGGCAACCGATTGAGAAGTTTTGGATGAAGGGAAAATGACCTCCACATGGTCTTTATTGATCTAGAGAGCTTATGATAGAGTACCTAGAGTTTTGATTTGGTGGGTGTTAGAAAAGAAAAGAGTCTCCAATACGAGGGAGTGCTACCTAGTGTACAAACAACTGGTAGAGAGATGAGTGAGTTTTCAGTGACAATAGGCGTATATCAAGGGTCAGCATTGAGCCCCTACCTCTTTGTCTTAGTTGTGGACAACTTAAATAGGCACCTACAAGATGAGGTACCATGGTGCATGTTGTTCGCAGATAACATAGTTTTGATCGATGAGACCCGAAATAGCGTCAACATAAAGTTAGAACTATGGAAAGAAGCTCTAGAATTTGAAGGTTTTAAAATTAGCCAAACAAAGCTAGAATATATGGAATGCAAGTTTACAGTAGAAACGAGGAAGTAGTCAATGAATACCAAAAAGGCGATATCTTGGGTCGATAACTTAGGAAAATGGCGAGATTGAGGAAAATGTCGCACATAGAATTAGAGCTGGGTGGAAAAAGTGGAAATGTGCAACTGGAGTTTTATGTGATAGTCGCATACTGATGAAGCTGAAAAGCAAGTTCTATAGGACCAGCTTTATGGGGCGGAATGTTTGCCGGTCAAAAAACAACATACCCATAGAATGAGTGTAGCTCAGATGAGGATGTTGAGATGGATGACTGGTAAGACAAGAAGGAATAGAATTTGTATTCATACATTCAGGAAAATTTAGGTGTAGCACCAACAAGTGATAAGATGAGAGAAAGTAGACGTACGTGGCCTGGACATGTGTGGGGCAGACCCAGTACATCACCTGTTAGGAGGTGCGAGTTAGTTCAAGTGGAAGGTTCAAAAAAGGTACGGGGTAGGCCCAGAGGATATGGTTGGAAGTAGTAAGAAATAATATGAGGACTTGTGACCTCATTGAGGGTTCATGTAGCCAACCCCAATTAGTTGGAAAAAGGTTTTGATGATGATGATGATATTAATGTGCTTAAATTTTATCTCAAATTTACACATATGATCAAGTTCTAACGAAAAAAAATTCCTCAAAATAATGGAAGCACCATTCAAACTGGTATAACTTCCCTTAGATGCAAGAGTCAACAAGAAAGCCAAATGGATGCAACATTATCAAAGTACTGCAACAATATTGTATTACCATTATTAACCTATGCATTGCAGGGTCTTGCTGCCAGATTACTTCTTCCTGTTCCAAGATATTTTTAGAGTCCAATCCAAGAAGCAAGTTTCTCATCATCCATTAGCTGACTCCTCATGTTCAATCTCTTTCAACTAAGGGCATTAACACTAACTCTATATAGGTCCTCAGCATCCATTCTTTTAGATATCATTTGATTTTCTGGAGCTTTCTTCCCAGCCTGAAACAACCCCCGCTATCCAAAACCAATTCTCGAAGTCCATGATAACAAGACTCTCCGATCATGTAGTCTCAATGCAAGAAATGGTTAGTACCCCTCTGATGGAGAAGCAAAAGGAAGCCCATGGATATGACAGAAACAGGACTCAACAGGATAGCATGCCTGGGGAAACAAGTCTACAAATCATCCAAGATGTTGAAGCGACGCAATCACACCAGCACTAGCTCTTCCTGATTATTTAACCTAGAGAATCACTGAAACTAGAGTTAACCATGCTCAGGGATCATTTTATTATTAGAAGGGGCATGGACTTATTTGTAATCATTTTATTTGATCTAAAAAATATGTATCTTGAATGAGGAAACAAAAACTTATAATTTTCAGTGACAAGGCTCCTCGCATGGTTTCAGATACAGCTTAAAAACCCTAGGAGGTATGATTAAGGCTAATAACAGGCATGCCCAGGAGTGGTTGACGGACACGCTTGGAAGTTCTCTCAGAAGAAAACTTTCCTCACAACTTACCAACTAATCCTCTGAAAAGCTAGCATGGTTTTTTAACGGCCAAGCAAAAAGTATTCCAAAATGGAATCAGTTGCAAATTCAACAACAAAACCAGTACTAGTTTTAGATTTAATCCATGTAGCTTGGGTCTAGGTATAATCAGAAGCACAACACCAGCTGCATTAATTTTCCGATTATATTTGCACTAAATGGACTGGATATGGCACAAATGCACAAAAAGAATTAACTTAACCCAAAGCAACCAAATAAAGAGTATGAGCTTCAGGTGCAACAAAAAACTAATTACCAAATACATTAGACCAAATGTCTTTGATATGATGCTTAAGGTGCTGACGAATGCAACACTCTATCCTAAGTTCAAAACTTCGAATTTTATGGATGAACTACCCAAAAAGAATAAAACATGTGTAAAACAACTTCATTGGATGGAGTCGAGAAAATCAGCATACCTTTTTAGGCACATACATAACACCATTTGGGGTAAGTAATATTTGATCCTTTAGATGTGACAAAATTGAAGCCTCAGGGGTAAATGAACTGACCCCCAGTACATTTGCTTTTGCGGGTGTAACATTTCCCAGGCATGTGCAGTAGCAGAGGTTATACGCAATTAGCATTGATGGATAAAGGGATTGAAAATCCAGAACGACCACTGGATCAGCACAAAATCCAGATTCTGGCTCCATTACAAGAGGAAGACACTCCATTGCAGGTTGCAAGGCCACCTGAGCCATCAGAAATTGCGATATGTGAATTGAGACTCTTCTCAAGATGCATGTATTAAATGTATATCTATAACAAAGACATCCAACTACAGAATATTGATTGATACACTTATGCATCAATAACAAGTTAACAACAACAACGATAAATGCATATAAAAGTCTATAGCAGTTGGACAATGGTTTCAAAATATATGCAGCTTGGTAACTATTGCAGGGAAAAGAAAAGTCGTCAACTGATCTTTAGATACATGGGAAGTGTGATAAAGTCCAGAGGTAAGTTGCTTAGAAACAAAATTAACAATTCATCACTTGATCAGAATCGTTTTTACTTTGGCTAGACATCAACTTGATCGAAATAGATAGTTTGAAAATAATTTACACAGAAGCATTCAGTTTCACTCAACCATACACAAATAACATTACAAACCACAAAGTCAATTGCAACACATCCGAAGAAAACGGTCAGATGTGGCCAAATATAAGTTAATATAGTATCAACAATACAAGTATACGACCTGTTGCTTGCTGGGAGAGATGACAAGATAGTTTTGTGTATGCGCTAATCTTAATAACATGGACTCAACACGGTATTGTGAACCACGAGACAGCACTGAGAAGAAGTCGATGCCAAAAACTCGAGCAAGTTCAGCTGTCCGATTGATCTGAGAACAGGGAGTAAATATAGGTCAAAATAACAGGCTCAAAAAATGTACAAACCAAATACTTCATGAAAATAGAACTTATCAATAATACAACGGATAGCAAACAATAAATGCCATCAAAGACATGAAAGACCTTGAGGAAATATGATATTTTCCAAGCATTGAGGTTGCTTACACATTTTCAGTACTAGATCAATCTCAATCTAGAGATGGCATCTTATAAAAATGATTAATGGGGAGAAACAATTATGGGTGCCTAAATGACTGGCAACATAGGCTAGTTTGATCAGGAAAAACATGGAAATCAATTGAAAGCAGAATCCTGTCCCTACAGAAGATTGGACATTTCAATCCAAAAATGCACTTACAACTTGCTCCTAGCGCGGCCTTTACGGGAGCTGTTTCCATCAGTGTTGTTTTCTTTTATTGATTGGGTCAGGAAGTCTCCATTTTATTTAATGTTCGCTGAATGTAATCATTTGTTGATGAAGTTTTCTAATGGAATATAGAACAATATTCACTAGAAAGTATGCATTTATTTTATTTTATTTGTATCTATTTGCACGTGCATGTCAGTATGTATATTGGTAAAGCTGTCACTGAAGGTCTTTCAAATCTTAAAATTTTTCATAAGCACCCTCTGTTCGCTCACTACCACGGATGCACCCCCTCACTCCATGCAACTGTGGTAAAATCCCAATTCAAACTACAAAATTGGAAGAAATCCCTACCTATCTTCATAATATAAGCATCTGAGAACTTCTAAGATTGCACAAAGAATATATATAGAAAAGCAATAAGGATCTTCAAAGACTGCGGCCAGGGTACCAATGGCTAGGACTACACTATATTTGTAGCTCCCAATACTATGGAAGCCAATATCCACGCAAATGGCCCAAAACAAGGCACCTTTAGGAACCTTCGGTACACACCAGTGCAAATAGTCGTTGCTTGTGAAAGGAAATTACTGTAATCTCATTCAGTGCCTTGTAATGAGGAGGCGGCTGTCGCATGATTGAGGTGCCCCAACATGGCCCCAGTGGTGGGGGATGGTTGTATTATGTATTAATACATAGCAGTGCAATTGACGGAGGTGATTATAAATTAATTCATATGGTGCGAAGTGATGGAGGAGGATCATATATTAATATAGAAAGGAACAAGGGAGGAGCAGGATTATATATTGATAGAGATGGGAGCAAGTGATGGAGGAGGACTGTATATGAACACACATAGGGGAAGGGGGCAAGTAATGGATAATTACATACTAATATGTATGGGGAAGGGGGCAACTGATGGGAGGATACTTATCTACTATAATACATATGAGAAGGAAGAAGAAGAACCAGGTGACTAGAACTAGGGGCCTGAAGAAGAAACGATGTCAAGGAGGGTGAGGCGCCCACCTTGGCAAAGGGCCCCCTCTGCCCTAGGCGCCTGCCTGTTTCTAGGCTATGCACCTAGGGCCCTTGCCAGCCTAGGTGGGGGGGCCAAATTTTATAACAGTGATCTTATTGCTTGCTCTGCAATTATTTTCTTAGGTTAAAATATGAACAATGATAAAAAAATCAAAAGTAAAGATACCTACTCAAAAAATTAAAAGGGGAAAAAACAATTAAACGGCTAAATACCTTATCAAGGTGGTAAAATCATCCCATTTAACAACAAGATAGTTACTTTTCAAGTTTCATTACAATCAAGTAACTCCTTAAAAACATGTTAAAAAATAACCAAATTGCTCCTATCCAAGACTGGGAATCCTATACAACAAAGCATATTTATGTAATTTAGCCCCACTTAGGCCCAAACCAAATGACGATAATAATGCAGGTGGTTCAGGGTTAGGAAAAGAGAAAAAGGTTTAAAATGAAAAAAATGAGTTCCATGTTGCCAAACTTGAGAACCAGGGGTATTATTGTCATGTAGCCCAGGCTAATTAAGTAGTGCCAAATTAACAAAATACCCCTTTTTATTTAGGGTTCCGATCCTGAACAAGGACAATTTGGTCACCTTTTAACATACTTTTTGAAGAGATATCCAAGTGAAATGAAACTTAACAAGTAACCATTTTAATGTTAAATGAAATGATTTAATCATCTTAATGATTTTGTAAGGCGGTTTGACCATTTTTAGTGTTATTTCCAATAAAAAAAAATGAAAGGTCAAGATATAAACCACTGACTGGCCTGGATAGATACAAGTAAACAGATCAAAGATATTTTAAATGAATAAAGAAACCCGCAAAAGATTAGGCATGATCCAGAGGAATATGGACTCTTGAGTCTTTCAGCAGATTAAATCACAAGCATCTAGACATCCTTGACTAGAAAAAGTAAAAAATCCAGAACTGCCTCTGGGTCACACTCTTAAATAAAACTATTAAATAAAACACTAGAATCACATTGTTGAATAGAACTTCTCAATGGATGTAACAATTGGTTCAACCACTACAGTAGGAGGTCAAAACCATCCCTAGTAATCAACCCAAACTAAATATGCAAGATGGTATGGAAAGTTGGATAGAACAAGAAAACATTAGCACAAATCAGGAGCAAAATGGATGTTGCAAACAGACCATGTCAAGTTGATCCATTATCTCGAGATTAAGCTTTGCCCTGTCTGTGAGATGTTCAATACAATGGGATCTTGCTCCTCCACAATCACTAGAAAACCAGCTAGACAATATTCTCCATGGAAAGGATGGAACTTTTCGCCTTAAAACAGCTTCAGCTACAGCTTCGAGGGTGTGCATACCAAGCCTAAGTTCATTACGCATTATTCGCCAAAGATTTAACACAATCCTCCCACCAACATGGACGCCGCTAGTGTGAGTACGGCCCCATTCATCACTAATTATTGCATCTTCAAGGACTACTGCATCAGTAGGAAAGTCATCCTGGAGCAATATATCTGATGTGTTACTTTTAAGGTCCTCTGATTCTCCCATTAAATTTTTTGTTTCAACCATAGGTGTCCGAGAAATATGCTTAAGCAAAGGAATTCCAAGGTTGGCGGCCCTTTCAGCTAGAAATCCAAGTGAAGAACTTTGGACTTCCCAACCCATGATGATGTCAGGATCAAATGAGTACACTAACTTCATAAAATAATTGAACAGATCTTTTTCTTCTGTTGTCACAACCAGATTGCCACCAGATAATTTATCTAAATTTCTGCAGCACAAATAGAACGAGCAAAAACAATTTTGATCACGAGATATATAGGACAAACAGAAATTCAAGCAGCTCACTAAATTCTCTTTTTGAAGCCAATCATAGTTTATGATGTAGAATGACTTAGTTGTCGTATTTATGCACATTATATACATGTATAAGCATAAATGTGTACCAGGTTAATAAAAGCAAAAAAGGATATACATATGCATATCTCAGATTAAAAAAAAACAAGATATACATATGTATATCCTATATACACTGCATCTATGCACAAATTCTCACGCATAATTGACAATATTTAGTTAGCCTCAATGGCATCTGAATAAACTTAACATGCTCCAACATCATCCACACACTGAGAGGCAACAGAAAAGAATTCAAAGGTAGACCAAAAGCATTAAAAGCTAGACAAAAGCATTACAATTAATAAGAATAAGCATTGTGCTTTGTGGTTAATCAGTTATATTGCACTAATTCACTTGAGTGCAAGTGCAAACCCCCTCATTTTTTAAAATATAACAGGAATTCTGCTAGTTAACCATGATTGCAAGTGCAACCCCCTCATTCGTGCAGGCAACTTTGAGTCAGCTTCCATCATATTTGGCAGGAGGCTAACATGGAGGCGGACACTTTAGCCAAGGCAGGTGCTGCCAATTTAGGGCCCCCACGAATCTTTTGAGCTTGATTTCAGAGTTTCTTGTTTATCAGTTGCTTTGTTTTTCTCCTCTTCATTATTACTTCTTCCTCACTTCCTTCTCTATCCCTAACCCCCATGGCAGAGAACTTGGTTTATGGTTGGCCTCCACAAAATTTTTAAAATCCTTGGCTGAACACCTGGCTTGCGGGTGGCCTCCACTTATCTTTTGACAGATGCACTCCCCAGAAGTCCTGTGCAAGTGGGCAGCTTTCCCCACCCTTCCTCTCTCCTTTCCTCTCTACCCATCAACCATGGCCCAAATGGCGCTTGCACGAGTGACTGAACGCCTGATATGTAGGTGGCCAACCTCTCTTTTTTGTTGTTGTTCATTCTTTTTTGCGTATATTAAAGCATTTTTTGTACACGAGCACCTGGCTTCTAGGCTGCCTACCACTCACTTCTCATGTGTTCCTTTTTGTGATTATCTGTACTCATTAATACACTGTCACCATTTTCAAGAAAAAGGAAAAAAACCATGGTATCATCAAATCCTAAATCACAAGTAGGAAATATAATTTGTCCACCATGTATCCATGACAGAATTGCAATTTTACAGTTTGCCATCCATTCTAGATGACATGCAAAGTAATATGCAAGTATAGAGAGCAGAAAGTAGACCATTCAGAAGTCTTTTCATCCAGTAAATCAATATTATCAATGAAAATTTTTTCAAACATGATAAAGAAAATTAATATTCGCATCCTCAACATACCTCATGCTAAGTAGCAGTCAGCAAACAAGTACTAGCCAGAAAACTTAAGTGAACGTACCTCGTACATGATTTTCCATGTTTATCCCACAAAATAACATGCACTTGTACCCCTTGATCAACATCCTCCTGAATCACGATCACTATGACATTGATAGGGTCATACCGGGGATCAGGTCGAAGGTCTCCCCTTGATTCGGCAAGGACCTGTCCCACAAACCACACTCTAATTAAGAAGGTTACCAAAAGTAATCATCATCACTCCAACCTCATGCCACTAGATGCAAAAAATTTCAAGAAAGCTATCTACTGTACTTATGGAGACAGCTATTGAGAATGCAAAATGACATGAATGAATAGCCTCAAACCAAAGACAGCTGTATTATTGTATGACCAGTATAGTAATTAAAGAAACAAATGAATGACAAAGACCCCTGGTATAAGATAGTCGGGGGAAAATTGTGACAGAAAGACCAAAAATGTCCATCTATTTATTGGTCTAGGAACATCTCTACCAGTGCTCTTCAAGATAAATAGCATGCTCTTGTAGTAAAATGCACCCAACTATCAGAAAAGTTTTGAACATAAACTGCAAACTGACAGAATTGTACCAAAGCTTCCAGTAAGGATAACGACTACAATTTCTTTAAAACATATCATATCTAGAAAAGAAAAATACAAGATAAATATACAGAGACAGGTCACACAACTGGTCAGAAATATTGGACAATCACAACCAGCGTAACTGGGAGCAACAACCACTAACACCATGAGCTAAGAACCGAATCCAGTCACATGATAACCACTACACAAAGAAAAGAAAAGCAGATAGCACTGACCAAACTAGAATAAAAAGGTACATAGACCAGTGAGTAGTCCACTCAAGAATGGATCCCACTCTGAAATAAATTTCAAAAGATTGGAAGACAATTCACAAATTATATCAAAACCAATTTTGCGTCCCCTAACGAGAGATCCCAACATGAAGGTACAAACACCAGTAAAAAGGGTTAACCAGGATACATGTTACTAAATAACATCAAAGACCTCTATTCCACAATACCAGCTAAAACCACGGTTAAACACCATGAAACTGATGGTGGAGAGGGAGGAGACAATTCGGAACTTTATCTTCAACTACTAACAAAACATTACAGTGCGTAGATGTCTCATAGTAGTCTCCTGCCAAGATGAAGCTAACAAAGAATATCTCAAATCAATTTCCAAGCCTGCCTGGATTTTCAAAAGCACAAAATACCAATGGAAAACAAGTTAATAATTTTATGGGAATGAACAGCTCTGCATTCACAACTCCTCGCTTTGAAGGGGAAAATATGTTGTTTCTACCTCCACACTGAACAGGGTTAGCTGTTGGCCAGCACCAAAACGTGCAGGATCACGAAAACCAATTTGGCTAAGAGGAGTCAGCTTTGATTTTGCAGATGGGCCTGAAATCTGTGAAACTTCCTGCCAAATGTCAACATGTTTTTCTTTCTTGTGCGCTTCTTTGAAGGCCAGGTTCATATTATTGACATTAGTTTGACACTCTACATGTTGTGCCAAAGGCTTTTCATGATGTTCCTCACTTAACTGATCAGGTAAATGGCTTGGTTTTGAGGATTTGCTGGTATCAGGAGACATCTCAGAGTAGCTTTTATGAGGGCATTCCAGGTGACTGGCACAAGCATTTGGAATTTCTTTGGCATCAGAAGCTGTAAGGCGATTTGGATGACTATTATTCTTTCCAAGACTTAAATCTGTCATGTTCATTGGGGAAGTTGCCTCCAAGACCTCCATCACTGTTGTAAATTTCTCTCTGCTTGTACCTGAAATTCACACATTCAGAAACAAACTAAAATGGTGTATATCTGCAACTAACATGATAGTCTTGTCATAATCATACCCACATCCTCGACCTTCACATTTTGATCTTTGACTTGCAACAACCAGTGATGAACATGAGCCAGAGAAGGTGGTGACAATGCAGGAGTTAACAAGAATAAGACGGAACCATCATTCTGATAATAGACAGGAAGACCAACTATAGTATCCAGTGCTCGATTGACACCAAAAACATCAACATCCATGTTTGATATCCTAGAAACTTCCTTCGGGCCATCTACATCTACAATAAAATATGGAAGAAGGCTATCCACATGCCCCTTTCCATCTGCAAATGCATGCATATCAGACAAGAAATAAAGTTGATTAGAACCCTATAGCAACCAAGAAGAGCTTTTCCTTGGGTTATCAAATAAACAGGTAAATGACAAACCTCAAAAACACAAAACAGAGAAAGAGTCCAGCTGAATTCTAAAGTATATCTTTATATCAAACACATTTTGACAATTAAGAGAAATGATCCAAATTTTTGAGCAGTGATATTTTCTTACCATAAGAAATGCAACATTAACAATAGCAATTACCAGAGAAGTTCAATTTTCAGTATGTGCAGTCATATTAAAAAAGCATGAAAGATAACATTTGCTGCCCATGACAGCACGTAATGCCATAAGTCAGAGAAAGACCCCAAAACAAAATGCAAAGGAAATACCAAGGGCCACACTATACCTCTAAAACATCAGAAAAACCTTCGTATAAAAATTTTGGGAGAAATTTTCAAAAAATCAAGCAATTCATCCAATTGAACATAAAATCAGAAACCAGCCATTTAAGTATAATCAAATTCTTCAACACAATTACAATTAGCTCACAGCCAAGAACTAAATGCCATAAAAAAGCTTTCAATTTATATACTTCAACTAGGTAAGGCATAGCTATCCAAGGAAAGAAACTTTTTGCAAGTTAGGATATAAATGAGATCTCGGATCAGCTTGGTAAGTTTTGAAATTAAGTTCAAATTTCTATTAGATTCAAAGATGCACACAAATCATGTGCTTATCATATCAACATGATACATTAATCATTCCTTTTCATGGTTTCTAACTTCTTACGCCGAACATTCATCCATTTCTTTTATTCCATAAGGTATTTAGGTTTTAAAAAACGGTAATCCAGATCGAAATCGCCCAATCCGGATGCTAATCAATGGGACTGGTCCGTTTCCCACCAAACATCAGGAAACAGTATACTCACAAAAAAAAATAGAGAATAAAAAAAATTGAAAAAAATAATACTTCTGGCCAGTTCTCTGGTAGAACCAGCCAATTCTGTCAGAGAACCAGCGAGAACCAAACCCCACCTTTTATTTTTTAATATTTTTTTCAAATTTTGTTGTTCTCTACTTATAAATTTTTTGTATTGGCCGACTCACTCGGTCGGATTGCCGATCTAGACCACCAATCTGCTGTTTGGACCAATTTTTTAGATGGCCAATACAAGTCACTGATCCGTTTTTTAACCTCTTACGCTATCTACCAACCCAAATTCCATGCACAGCCTCAGTTGCACATAGAAAACAAGTAAGTCTCTAGTTTTATTGCATGTCAAGGCCTCAGTTGCACAAATAATAGTTGCAATTTCCGTGAAGTTTTTTATTGTATACAATTGTTTTTTTTTATGATTCGTTACATTAGTTTTGAGCAATGTTAAAGAAGTTGAATGCAGCCGCCTAGGCAGTTTGGGGTCCTGGCCGCCTAGGAACAAGGACTCACACTCACCACCCAAAACCCCCAACAAACACCCCCAACCCCAAAACCCTCCCCCCAAAAGGAGAGAGTTCCTTGTAGAAATATCCAAAAAAAAAGAAAAGAAAAGAAAAAATAACATGTAAAAATAACAAACAATAAAAACAAACAAATAACATGTAAAAATATTAAAAACAAAAACAAAACAAAAAAAAAAAATACAAAACATCACACTTTATCATCATCAACAGCAGCAGCATCCAAGCCTTATCCCAATTATTTGGGATCGACAACATGAATCATGTTCCTCCATTCTTCTCTATCAAGGGCGTCATACCCTCAGTAAAACCAAAAGTCACCATATATTTTCGTACTACTTCTATCCATGTCCTTTAGGGCTTTCCAGAGTCTTCCACTTGAACCAAATCGCACGTCCTTACCGGTTTCGTAATAAGCCTACACTACACGCACGCACACACATATATGTATACAAAATTCGAAAAGCTTAGTGCAATACAAAATTTGAATATATATATATATATATATATACATATATATTGTATTGCACTAAGCTTTTCAAAATGAATTCGATATAGGTTCAAACCGAAAAATATTCACAGAACATTTCAAGCTCCCAACTACAAACATGTAAAATTATTCTAAAAGAAATAAAAACGTAAAAGAATATCAAATGATTCAAATCACAATATAAAAGAAAAATACAAAACCTTAATACATTATACCAAAAAAATACAAAACCCGAATTACAATAATGTAATACACTAACCTTTTCAAAATGAAACTAATATCGGGCCAAGCTGATGATCTTTGGACGCCAAAAGTCCTCTTATCCAAGCTCCAAAAACTATCTCAAAGTATTCCTTTAGTTTTCACAAGAAATTAGAAAAGTTGAAATTGTTTCAATCTAGCAAAATATCTCAAATGCCAAGTTTTTTGAGAGTTTTTCTCTCTAGTATGCACAAGAGGGATTTTAGGGGACTAGAATATCCTCCCAGACCCTTACCCCACCCCACCCCCCTCGTTTTTAGGGGGGAAATCTCAAAAATGCCCCTGGCCACGGGCATTTTTCCATCCTCACCCTATCGTGGGGCACTGCATAGGCACCCGCCCTAGGCGGGCTAGGCGCCGCCTATGCGGACACCAAGACACATGGCCCCTAAGTGAGCCGTCTAGGTGCCACCAAGGCGTTTTGGCCTCCCCACCGCCTAGGCGGCCAGGTGGCCAAGCAGCCAAATTTTCGAACTATGGTTTTGGGAAAAAGATGATAAACCTGTCTGTTACACTTACCCAACAGGCAGGTCCAAATCCAGGTCCAAGCTCCCCAAGAACATTGGCATGCACAGTTGACAAATTCTCATCAATTATAAATCACACATAAGGGGTTTCATTTCCTCCAGTAGATGAGAATGATTTCTTATCTATCTTCAAATATGAATATAATAATATTCCAAATCTCCATAGGAAAGAAGCACTAGGAAACAGTCAGCAAAGTTGTTGCATGCTCTAAATTTTAAAACTGCTTTCAAACAAGCGAGCCGTATTAAGTGAGCATTTATATCACAAGACAATGACCACATGCCTAAATAATATGGCCGCATATGAATACATCTTTTTTTTCAATCAATAGCTCTGTTTTTTTTAAATTTTTCTTTACACCCATTTAAGAGTGACAGCTTCCCAGCCTGGCCCGCCACAACTCATTGGGGACCCTATTTTTTGTTAACCCTGCATACTGCAAAAACACCACCGAAACACCCAAGACTAACCCAAAAAAAAAGGCACTTCTTTTTCCTCTATTCCCAAAAAATGGATGACTTCTATCATATTCCCACCCCCCACCACCACCACCACCACCACCCCCCTTCCTTTTTTTTTGGGAAGGGTGGGGGCCTTCAATTATATGAGAACTGCTTCTTAAGAGTGAAGACAACAGTTTTTAAGGTTGCCCTTAAAGTAACTAGGGTTGTTTCTTTGATAAGACTACTAAGCCGTCCAAAATGGGGCCTAAGATGATGGCTACCACAAAAGCCCACCAGATTGGATTGGTCCAGAGTACTTCTCACTCAATATATGAGCTGGTGCTGTCTTGAAGCTAATAAAATAAATCAACAGAGCTGGTTTTCACACCAACTTTTTTAGTGAAAGCACTCATCTATATAATTAAGACCATTCATCTTTAAATGGGATGGGTTTGGTTTAAATGGATGGCCGAGACTACTAAGAAAAGAGCGTATCCCAAAAAATTACACAGCATAAGCATAACTAACATAAGAGGTGCTGAAGACATTTCCAGGCCTTAAGGTTAACACAGATGCTCCATAACTAAATCAATACAATGTGACATGAAGTAATGATAGGTACATGTGGCAGTTACCGCAACCAGCATCACTTTCCTTTCTTAATCAATAATATTTTATCAACAAGAGAAGTAAGAGATTAAAATAAAATTAGAGATTTCTTACAAAGGCATAACAAAGAAGTGTGAGATAAGAAGAAAATGATAGAGCTAGAAAAGAGAGCCACACAACAAAGATATCATAAAATACATCACTCCCTGATACACTTTCTAAGGCACAAATAATAGAGGGTACTCATCATTTAAGTTGGTTATCATATCAAATGAATGAAAATAATGATCAAAATCATGTCTGCCAAGAATGAAAACAGGGAGTCAAAAAGAAAACAAAGCGAGAAACAGAAGCAAAAGAAATTGGAGCAGTGAACTCACCCTTTGGCAGAACAGAGCTGCATGCTAATGGATCATCAGAAATGCCATCTGGCATCTCATCCAAATCAAGACAATGCAAGGAAGGCACATCACAGTTCACCCTATGTTGTCTTTTTATACAATTAACAGTGGGGGGCTTACAGTTAAAGGTTCGTACAATAAATTCTTCATGGGACTTCTCTTCACCATGTTTTCCAGGAAGGACATATTTTCCCAATGGTGCATTCACATCAATATGAAAGCTTGATCCAAATTTATCCGCCTTATCAATACAGCCTTCTTGAGTTTTTCCACTAATGCAATCAAGACTATCTGTTTCTGCAGCTTTAGCTGGAACAACCGGCCCGTAGCTTTGTCCAATAAGCCCTTCTCTCGTGTCTTCCACTTGTCTTTTGCTTCCACCTAATGCTGAGAATGGCAATGGCATGTATCTGGGCAAGATGTGATTAACAGGGTACAATTCAGTGACATTAGAGCCTAACTTCGTGTGGGATGTATCAGCATCTTTACTCTGTTCAGGAATTACAATTGACTGGTTGAGGCAAGGTGATTTGGCAACAACTTTTTCATTTGCCCAGTTGCAATTTCCAGCATCCACAGACTCTGCAAGGGATAGGAATTTCTCCTCATTTGGACCCTCCCCTGAAACCATCCTTTTAAAAGATCTGGAATTGTAAAGCTCAGATGGCTCACTTCGAGAATTACGCTTCCTCCGCATTAGGTCCCTCATTGAACATTCAGTTAACTTCCTTCCTGGTTTAAAGTCTAGATCCTTTGTATATTTCGAATACAAAGAAGGATCGCAAGGTTTACCAGCTTCACTTCCAGAAGATGAGCCCGTATGATTATCTTGATCACAAGGAGAATGCAACTTTTCATGAACATTTCCATCAGGGGAAAAAGGTAAGGGGCACCATTTAGGATGATTTTTAGTTGCACCAGCCACACCCGCACTGCTATCTCCTTCAGCATTCCTCCTGGTTCCACTTTCATTCGGTGCTTTAGATGGACAGCCAGACCTTGAATGCAAAGGCTGATCATCTGATGAACCATCAATTTGAGGAATCGTATTTCTCAAAGTCTTCGAATGATTTTGACAATCAGAGTTCAAGGCTTGTTGGTTCAAATCCTCAAATTTCTGTATATCAACTGAATCAAGAATATCCTGGCATTCCTTTTGGGACTCACTCTCATAATCCGTATGAGCTTTCTCCAAAACCTTCTCTAATGCTGTATTAGGCAACAAAGGACTCAATATAGTCTCATGAATGAGTTCATCATCAGTGCTAAGATCCTCTAGTGCCTGAGAAGAAGCAAGCCACTGTAGAAGCCCAAGGTCTTCAACATCTACCACCTAAAAGATATAATTCTTGGTTGGTAAGAAGTGGACAAGCTCAAGATTTGAGTTACTTCCTTATTGAACATTGTAAGCTTAACAATTTTAATTAAGGAAGGATGCCCATACCATTCTAAATGCAAACATAAGACCCCAGGCTACACATTTCTGAAGACATGTACAAAAACATGTGAAGCTAGTTACTGCTTCAGAAGTAGACAAGTAACTTCGAGGATATTTTGTTCAGGTTTTGTAGCCTTTAAAGCCCATGAAAACATGTAAATAAAAACTATAGTGGATATGCACTTAAGTGGGAGTGCGTGTATTGGTTGATTGATCTAAGGTTATGTGGTTTAATGACCATTGGTCGTGTCCAAAACCCTTACACCTGGGCATATGGCACTACCAATGAGGGTTTCTAAAGGGTCCTCCCTTATTGATGTCAGAGAGATGCCCAATGATGTTTTGTAGGCCAAGAGAACTTTGTGGTCTCTTGTCTACGATTTGTAGGCCTGTTAGAGCAAGGGCTAAAAACAAACTTCCACACGACATGTACACATAACAGCCCCATTCCAGGAAGCAAACCTCCATGGGATATGTATACTTGTGCATAATGAGATTCCCCTTTCTGTTTTGTTGGGGCTGAGTGGAGCCCCTATGCTTTTTTTTTTTTTTTGGGAGTGGGGGGGTGGGGTGGGGTGGGTGGGGGGAGAATAGGGGCCTGCCCCCCACGCATGGGGGGCCCATATGGGGTGGCACGTGAGGCCAACTAAAGCAACACGCCCCACATGGTGATCATGCCCCTTTATTTCAAAACTGTGTTATATGTTTTTTTATTTCAAAGAGATTTTTGTTAGAGGAAGCCTTGAGAAAATCATTGAGACAAATTTTGAGAGCATATTTTGTGGGAGTAGAGAATATTTTGTATTCGAAATATATTATTTCAATCTTCAAACTTTGAATTTGACCAAACCATTTTGACATTAACAATTTTTTTGTGCGATAAAAGAAAATTCTAGTCAAAATAGAGGATGAGATTTGACTGGTCTTATCCTAAATTGCCTAGAAGTGGATGTGAGTCAAATATTCAGGGGATAAGATTCCTAGATTTCTCTTTAAATCATGATGGCTGATTTTTCATATGGATGACTCACATTTGTCTCTCTCTAACCTCAAATATTACTTAGGAGTCCTATGGCCCCAAGCGGAATTCTAATTCGGATAGGCATACATGGACCTCTTGAAAGTTATTTAGCCCTCCTCATTCTAACCACCTGATTTCTTAGCACCTCTCTCTCCTTCTCTCACCTCCATATTTCTCTCTGCCTCTCTCTCTCTCCCCTAGTCTCTCTCTAGGGGGTGGCACGCCCAACCCACTTTGTGAAAGGGTGGTGCCACTAAGGTGGCATGCCCTAAGAGTCCGAAAGGGTTAGAAAATCCTAGATCTAGCCTATGCTCTCTAAACCCCAATTCTGAAAAAGAGGTATTGCTTGGGTGCTACCCAACTCTAAGAATTAAGCATGGCCAATATGTTCAAAGCAATGCACCATCGGTCGGGTAATCGAGTGTGGAGTTTATCATGTCCCCCTAGGCAAAGTCGAGTAAGTCTTCCAGGCATGTTTGTTTATTTTTCAATCAATATTGCTTGGTTTATTGCAATTTTCAGGAACATTATTTGCATTAAAATTCATAAATAAAGTTGGAATTAAGTCCTTGGATTGAGTCATACTTATTTGGCAGAAAAAAGTAAGATCCTAAGTTGTATTTAGGTTTGTTTTAAAATTTACAGAATTGTTTATGTGGCACCTGTAAGTGGAACTCAGTAATATTAACAAAAGAGAAAAAAAATTATTTTATTCCCTTGAGTTCCACATAGCCACTTCTTTCACATATTGAACACAAATAACCGCTTATTGACTACTACAAACATCTTTGAGATGATCATTCACATAGGGAACAAGACTCTAAATCAAGATGCATAAATTGATTTATAAGTTCTTCACATATACGCAGTCTTAGGGATTTTAACCCAAAACCGATGATTGGGGCATACGAGATATCACATGCTGTTCACGTAGCCCATAGATACATGGAGAACAAACAAATTAACAGCAGCACCAATACACATCTCATCTACATCTACAAGAGCAGATCTCGTCAACAAACTCGGCAAGGGTGTACAACTTGACAATAAAACATGGTCGACAGCCCTCTTTACAACAGTCACTGGAATAAACTATAAATATTATCAGATGTTCTATCAATAAAAAAGTTTACAAATCAACATTCTTTGTTACCTTCGAATCCTGTACTCCTGTCAGTTGAGATGATGGAAAATCCTTGTCACCAAATACAACTTTATCTAGAGTGTCGTCTTTCACAGGTAATGAACTACTACCAACTCCAACTGGGGATGGCAACAAAATTGAATCTTTGGAGTTTTTGGAATCCTGATCCTTCAGACGTTCTGCCTGAGACCTGCAGGAGTCAACTAAATGTTCCTTGAGCTCACTAGAAGGTTGTATGCATGGCTCAAGCTTCTGGTCAGTCCTTGAAGGAGAACCTTGAGAAATTTCAGGATTTTGCACTCTGGTATACAAATTAGAGAGTGGATCCTCAAATACAAGGGAAGGTAAAAGACTTTTGAGAACATCTGCAGGTAATGGTTTACTAAGATCAGATATCCCCACTGTGTCATGCATCCCAGATCTTGCATACTCTTCCTGAACAGAATCATGAGACCTAATATGTAACAGATAATACCTCCAGTGCAAAGCAAACTTGCACAAACCGTGAAACAAGAAAACATACCTCCCAAATTGGAACAAGTGACTGAACCATTCTAACCTCTGATCTAGTCTGAGAAAGGGATGTATATAATAGATGTTCCTGATTCAGAATTTCTGCAAAATTATGGTCCAATATCAGCTTTATCACGCAAACAGTTAAAGACATTAGTCAACTTAGATTATTTTCAGTTAATGATCCAAAAACATGAAAATGACTGATAAACCAATATTTACCATGAACAATGGCATCTCCCTCAAGCTCGCATGTACTTTGCCTTTTAATATGTTGAAAACCAGGAGTTGATGAGTCTTGCTCTGCAGCTGGAGAAGGCCACAACCAACTACCTGGAACAGTTGATGAAATCCAAATAAATGGTTGAGTGCACAATGGACTGCTTCCAACTTCTGCCTGAAATGAAATTGTTCCATTCAGGTTCCAATTTCTACTACTAGTAGAAGAACAACAAAAGTAATTCATGGTGAGTTCACCTCATGTAAGTTTCAGAAAGGAGACCTCAAAGGTAGATGAAACAGAAGTAGCCTCGTGGCTCTTAAGCTTAAGAAAATCACAATACTTGTTTGATCTTTGGGTGGGCATCTGAGGTAGTGGATGGCGGAGCTTCACTTTACATAGATGCAAATGACCCATTCCATACAAGTTGTAATCCACCTAACATATTTCAAATATTAGCAAAAATAAGTGAATACCTACCTAAAGTAAGAAACATAATAATAATACAGAGCAACACTAAAACCTTAATACATAAAACACCTAGATGAATACTGTAAAATGATAAGGAATTGAGCTTGGGCTTGAGTGGTTAGTCGCTGACGTTTAGCAGTGCTACCACTCAAGTTTGATTCCTACCACTGAACTACTAATGCAAATAAAATTGGGGAAAAGAGAGAGAGAGAGAGAGAGAGAGAGAGTAATAGCATTGACTTTGTGTGTAGAGACAAAGAGCTAGTAGTTTGGCATTGTATAAAAGTAAAAGAGAGAGCTCGGTCTATGGTAAAGGCATGGTTGTCGGGATCAAAAGCAGCATCAAGAGAGGAATCGGGATCGGAATCGCAGCAGGTGATCATGAAATGCTAGAAGATCCCTATGGTTGGAAGCATCGTCCAAATGTTAAAGATCGCCTTCCCAACCTTATAAGGATCACAATTTCAACCTTTTAGGACTCAATGTCAACCTTTCAGAGTTTTGCACACAACCTTATAGAGTACGTACAGCCCTAGACTATATGTACTCTTTTGAAGTAAGGTTCTCTTAATCTATAACCAGAAAGCAATACAACTATATTAGAAGTATAGTTGTATTACTGACTAGCTTAAATAAAGAAAATCATCAGTTTGGTGTTTATCTTGGTCTTTAAGATATAATCTGAGATGCCCAACAACAGGAATTGATATACCAAAATTTAAAAATAAGATCCCATTAAAACCCTTTCAGTAAGCACCCAAGTGAGATTCCGAAGCAAGATCACCACCTAGATTGGGAGATCACAAGTTCAAAACAACTAGTCAAAGGAAGGGCAGAGAGAGAGAGAGAGAGAGACTAGTAAGATTTGGCTTTGTACGAAGAAAAGCAACGTCTATAGGTTGAGAGAGAGAGAGAAACCAGTAGGACTAGGTTTTCACAGAGAGATGCAGAGAATAGGCATTGGGGGAGGGAGAGAGTAACAATTTGGGTTTGTGTAGAGATGTAGTAGGATTAGTTGTTTGGCAAGAGAGAGAGAGAGAGAGAGAGAGAGAGGAGGGGAGAGTAAGAGTAGTTGGATCTGTGTGGAGAGGTAGTAGTAGGATTGGTTGTTTGGAGAGAGAGAGAGAGAGAGACCACAAGCTTTAGATGAAGAGAAACGGTTTGAATTCGTATGTAGAGAGACTAGTAGGACTGGCTTCGAGAGGGGAGAGAGAGACAGAGAGAGCGGAGACACTAGTAGGATTGACTTTGTACAGAGAGAGATAGTGAGAGCCTAACCAGGTTTGAGTTGTATAAAATTAGAAAGATAGTTAGGTTTATAGTTTTTGTTGGGTAGGGGGGAGAGGGAGAGAGAGAGAGAGATGGAGCTAGGTTTCTAGGTTAGAGAAAAAGAGAGCAGAGTTTGTGTAGGAGAGAAAGAAATTAAAATTTATCTATGAGAGAGATTAGGTTTACCTGAAAGAGAGGAGAGAGATAGAGGAAGAGAGGGAGTTATACAAAAACATATAGAGCATATATCTAGTATATATTTTAGAAGTAAAATAACATATAATTAATGGGCTGGGGCTCGAATGGTTATGGTATATGCGGTATATACATGTTAGTCACAATTACTCAAGTTCAGATGTCATCCTTCCCACTATTTAGATTTTTATATTAATTTTTATAATACCAAAAAAAACATAAAAAAAATCTAGTCGTCTTGAACCCTAGCCAAACCAATGATAAGGTCGGACTGCACATAGGGCCTTTGAACCAATTTTGTGCCAAGCTGCGCAAGGCCAACCATGGGCAAGAATATAATAGGATGCTCTTGCGATCCAAACCAACGTGGCATGGAGTAGTTGAAAATTTCACCAGAAAATTTGATTCATGGAAATCTTGATTATGACCTCTAGGTGCAAGATATTTGGACCCTAGCCAAACCAATGATAAGGTCGGACCGCACATAGGGCCCTTGAACCAATTCTGTGCCAAGTTGGGCCAGGCCAACCATGGGCAAGAATATACTAGGAGTGCCCTTGCGATCCAAAGCAACGTGGCATGGAGTAGTTGAAAAATTCACCAGAAAATTGGATTCATGGAAATCTTGATTATGATCTCTAGGTGCAAGATATCTTTGTTGATCAAATCAATACTATCAAGCCTGGCCATCTATTTCATGTCGATGTTGGCAAAGCCCAAGTTGGTTTTTAACCATCGAGAGAAGCTAATGAGAAATGTTCCATGGATGGCTCATCTATAAAAGAAAAACAAATGCATTTAATGAATTGGGATTTGAAAATAGTGTGCAAGCCTAAAAACCAAGGGAGGATTGAAGAAACAAAACTGGCCTTTTTGGGCAAGTGGTAGTGGAGATTTAGTGAATCTACAGAACTCAGTGGTGGCCAGTAAGTATGGTACAAATGAGCTAGGGAGATTAGAACACAGTAGAAGGAATAATTGAGCTAGTCTAGGATTTGGAAAGGGGTAAATCAGGTCATCAACATCATAACCTTATCCCAACTATTTGAGGTCGGCTACACAAATCATGTTCCCCCATTTTGCTCTATCAAGGGCCATACCTTTGGTGAGAGCATAAGTCCCCATATCTATCAAGTAAAAAAACAATTCTGTTAGTTTTCTTCTTGTAGAATAAATGGCAAGATACTCAGTCTATCAAAGTAGCATACCCGTCCATGTATGGCTCGGCATCCAACCCAAAGGCTATAAATGCACAAATAGTCAGGTGGTAGGGGATATAAGAATGAGGTGTGCTAGACGTGGAATTTTTTAATAAGCTACAATGTACTCCCACAGGCCAAGGAAGCCCAGAGGCTACAAAACTTTTTTTTTTATGAGAAGTAGAGGCTAGAAGAATTACCCAGTCAAGTCTTTTACCGAAATGCTAAAACGAAACAATAAGAAGGGCTCAGTTGCTCCAAGAATGTGGAACATACCAGCCTTACATAAATTTTGAGCGCTTGGGTAGTAATATTTAAGAAGGTGCTGACCATTGACAAAATTATAAAAAGAGGTATGCCTCCCTAGTTGGTGGCAATTCATGAAGAAACAACACTGAAACAAGAAAACATTTTATTTTTGCTTTGCAATATTTCTTACTACTATGTGGTCATCATCATCGTCAAAATCTTTTCCCAACTAATTGGGGTCACCAGAGCCTAACTACCATATGGTCCAAGGTGTAGAACCTGAATGGGGATCAAGGGAAATGCATGAATCAATAAAAAAGTTCTAGTTGCAATGGTTTCATCCACCTCTTCACAGTTTAGGCCTAATTTTGTGAAGGCTAATACTTCCCCCTGTTTGGGCCAGTGTATCCACAGCTCGGGCACGGCACTTCGCACCTTGCCAAGCCGAGTTCCTTGCCCAAGTTCTTGTCCAAGCGGGAAAGAAAGGCCTAAAAAATGAAAAGAAATCAGTAAAAGACGTAAAAATTCAAGAAAAATAATAAAAAATCCAAAATATACAAAATAAAAAGAAGCATATAAAACATGGAACACGAAAGAAACTGATGTTATTCGCTTGAAAAATATGAAAACAAAAATGTAAAATGTAACAAATAAGAAAAACATAAAAGGGAAATTTTCAAACTACACCTAAGAGATAAAGTACTTTAACATTTTATCATTTTGCAACTATTCCATGCCATGATCATGTCTCTTTTTGATGGAATTATTGAAATTAAATAGTTCACACCTTATGGTTATTTTGATAAATTTCCCTAAGCAAAAAACATAAAAAATAAAATATATATACTGAATTATAAATCAATTATATTTGATTTAGTCAAAAATAAATCATTTTTTATTGGAAATGAAAAATAATAAATTTTTAGGCTAACTCTCGGATATTCGCACTTAGTGTGAATTGAAGACTCAAATCCTTATCAAAACTTTACTCATATAACCCCAGTCAAAACCCTTTAGGGATTTGAATTCGGATATAGGAGGTCGGAGCTCTTGAAAAAATCATAATAGTAAACCCAAATTTAAAATCTCTAGAATCCAAATCTTTTGGTGGTTTTTTGTGAAAATCAAATCCATATATTTGGATGAAGAAAAAACTGCCTTAAGGAGATTGACCATCCATTGCGAAGATATCACAATTTTTCAAAACAGGACAAAAACTTGACCATATTTTTCAATCTATCAAGTCCATCGAATCTTTTGATTTTTTTCTCAAATCAAGTGCCCTAAGCAGTGTTCTAAAACAAGGCCCGGGCAAGTTACTCAGCACCAGCCCGAGTCGAGCTACTTGGATGGGTCGACTCGGACACATCTGAGTCAAGCCAAGCCATAAAAAAACATTGTACAAAAAAAAAACCTGTATGACGCACGGAATAGGAATAAAATTGATGTTATTGGCTTGAAAAACATCAAAAATTTGAAGAAAAAAAAACCGAGGAATTTCAAAAAAGAGAAATATAAGAAAATCATAAAAAAAATAAAAGTATGCACAAAAGAATTATAGATCAATATATTTGATTTAATGAAAAATAAATCAAAATTATGATTTAAATTGAAAAATGGAAACATACCCAAAATTTCAAGGCAGATCTGCCAATCTTCACGGTTGATGCAAATCCTCAAATCCATTGCAAAGCTTCCACAATCACCCCAAATCAAAACCCCCAAAACCAATTTCAGATTTGGAGCTTGGATATAGAAGATCCAAGCTCACAAATTTTTTTGGAAGAATAGTAAATCCGAATTTCAAATGTCTCATCCTTTTTTTCTTTCTTTCTTTTTTTTGTGAAAATCAAATCTAGGGAATGTTTTTCATTGAAGATGACTACTGATTGCCAAGAAATCGCAGTTTTTTAAAATGGGCAAAAACTTGGCCGATTCTTTCGATTTTAAAAATCTGTCAAATCTAGTGTTTTTTCTTAAATTCAAGGCTTCCAATAATAGATCGGAACAAAAAAAAACTAAGGAATGAATTACAGCTCAAATTGACGGTACAAGGCTCCATTCAAGAAAACAAAGAAAAAGGGGGGGCACAGGACCCTCCCCCCCTCCTTTTTATTTTGTTACGTGAACAGTAATTGAGCAAGTTTCTGTACTGTACTGGCACCCTTAGGTACCCTGTTCCACTTCAGCAGCCTGGTGAGCCCGAGGAGCTCACCCAAGTCTAAATTAACTTGGGGGAGTTTTCAAACATAGCTTCTAATAGATAGATCAAGCAGAAACTTACTAACATTAAATTGCACATCCTAGGACCCAAAGTTTGTATGGTACTTGAGCGAGTCGATACAGTACCGCCCAAGTATTATACAGGCTATATACCTTTACCATGTTCCAGGCTCATTAGGCTGCTGAGCATGAGTACCCCGCTCGAGACAGAGTCAACTTTGGCGAGTTTGCAAACAATGGCTTGAGCAATCTAGAGTGAATGGCATGATCAAGTATTCGACTAGAAGCAATAGTCCATCAAGTGGATCTACGATATGATAATAGCCACCATAGTAACGTGGGCAAGACTAAATGAAGTGTTTTGGGGTTATTTCATTGCGGATTTCGAAAATCAGTGGCACGTTATCCCACAAAGCTACTTACCTAGAACCTCAAGACACGCAAATTTGGATTCCTCGAGTGGCTGAACTTTGATGGAAGTTCATTGAGGAAGCCAGGACCGGCACAACTGGTGGGGTGTTTAAGGAAATTTTGATGACCTTCTCGGGGACTCTACTCAGATGTGAATCAAGTGCACCCAAGGAAAGAGCACTGTTAACTGGGTGCCTTGATTGCAACCAAGTTGGATTACCATTGAAGCCAACTCCAAGAATCTCATTGAATAGACCAGCAGAAAGTCTGATTAACCTCGGCATTTTGCGAATGTTTTTGAGGATGTTTTTCAAATTGCAAAGAAAATCAAGGCCACTTTTAAACCTGTATGGAGAGAGGCTTAACAGTATGGCTAATTAGTGGGCCAAATATGGGGTGACAAAGGAATCTCTTTTAATCATAATTTTGTTTTGCTGACATTTTGTTCATAGGTTTGAGGAACCCAAAGTTTCCCAAAGATCATACTTGTAGACCTCGCTTTCAATTAATCAAAGAAAAATACAGTCAACAATCAAAACAAAAAAGGTAAAACAAATTCAGTGTAGCGCATAGGTAGCCTTGACTGGAACCAAGCAGTGTCACAACAATAAACTATAAAATTAAATTCTCAATGTTAAATTCCCAATACTTAACTCTCGCATCTTCTTATTCCTGTTTTTAATTCATAACTCAGGCTTATTCTAGCAAAGTGAAACAATTGACAGCAACATCTCTCATCAAAACGTCTAATTTCCATGATCTTTCCCAGTATTTGCACTCAAGAAGCGGGCGCATGAGGAGCCATGGGAGGATGGACTCTGAAATGAATTAGTTAATTGGCACATAGCTTATTGCAGTGATTCAAGTGTGCAGAGTTTTCTTCCTACATTTTTGCTTCTTTCTGCTAGAAGTCTTTGGTATAGTTTTCAGAAAAAATAGGTCTATAAACTTAAAAAAGGACCTCCGGTGGACAGGTGTTAGAAGTCATTATGAAGTCATAAGGTACTGATTTTCATATTCTGTTATATGCAATTCATATTATTAACAGCAACTTCTGCAAGTTTATTATATTATCAACAGTCTAGCAGCACATTCTGCACAGGAAGGATTATAGCATGCGCTATCAGAATACGATATAATTAGTGACAACAAAGTCAAGGATTCCAGATAATGGAAAAGGATACAAAGTAAAGAAATTGTTAATCGGAATAGAAAGTTACCAAGTACTGTTTTATTTATATTAAATTTTGCACAGGAAGGTAAAATCATATCCAGCATTTGATGACGCACTAATGACAAAAAAAAAAATATCACGAGTTGGAAAAAGGAGACCAATTAAAAAGGATATAAACAGCATATGGAGCGCCAATAAAAATATGAAGCAACCAGAACGATGTGATTCTGCTAAATTTTGCACGTGATGAGAATGCAATAGAAATCAAACAACTTTATGAAAATAATAATCAAGAGAAATGAGAAAAGAAAAAAGAGTCATTAGAGGTGGCCGCCATCAAATCAAGGATCACATGAATGTATGCTGCTTAAGACATGATATTGATCATTTCTTTTCTCTTTTTTCTTTTGAGAAGTAATAACATTCACTTATCACAAGGCCTAAAAAAATTGTTCCTTTCGAAACCTCAATCCTATGAAATTAGTTGCTCTAACCATTACCATAAACTGGAGAAGAAAGGGGATGTGTGATTCGTGTGGCTGAAAACTTCGGTTCAAAATGGCACCCCCCTGCAAAACAAGTAGACATGTCAACAGACAAAGGACAAGCACATGCCATGTGAGGGGATTCAAAACTATTGCAGGCAAGAAGTCCGGACCTGCAACAATTGTCACAAGTGAAGGTAAGAAACATTATGCAAACCTCAATGGAGCCCAAATCAAACAATTATTAAGTTAAAATTAAAAGAGAACACCTCCTTGAACAGAGATTCCGGTTCAGGACTGGTTTGTCTAGGACTATAAAAATTAAAACCAACGAACTCATATATTGCTCAATGTTTAGATTAACCAAGGAAATAAGGAACCATCCAGATTCCATAAGCACAGAGAATTCATTCAATTGTTTTCAATTGGGATCACTAAATATAGTTTTAGTTACCTGACAAAAATTTAAGAAGGAAATAAATCCTATTTCTAAGTTGAACAAATCAAGTTTCTTAAGCTTCAGAATAAGCCAACAAGAAATCTATGTTGGAGCACACTAAAATTAGCTCCTTAACCCACGTACGAGTAATAGGGAAGCCACACGAGCAACTTCATGAGGATAATATCTTTGATTTCATCAAGGTATTCCAAACAGTTAATAAAATATAAGAGATGACAAAAGTAATATCAGGTTCAGCCTCATACCACAGAAAATCTACATAACCATGCAGTTAAGAAGAGAGAGTTACCAGTCATAGAACATAAGATTAGGTAAATTTTTGAAATAGTAAGTTTTAGAAGAATAATCCATAGTCAAATTTGACAAAGAAAACCCGCCAAAATGGTGGATACAAGTAAATCTTAATAAATAGCTCCTCTGAGGAATAATGTCCATAAAATCTCTTCGCACGTACAAGGCTGCAGCTGTGTACATGTTGCCTTTTTGATCCAACAGAACCTCCAAACTACAGATTCAAGAAAATAAAACTTCACATTGGGTACCTTTATGTCCATATTCAATCCTTAAACTCAAATATGCAAATCGAAGAATACCTTCAAAGCCTTCTCAATTGCAGAAGCTAAGAGACGAGTATAAGCAAGACCTTAAAGAAGATAATGAAGTAAATCAGAATAATCGCACCAGAATTTTTATAAACAAGAATAAAAACACCGTGTGTCATTCAATCAATAACTTGACAGAAAAGGAAAATAACAATAATGTCCATCTGCAAACAAGGATATCCATCAGCACTAATGATTTATAAACATTTTTAATTCAACTTCGAAGATCATGTCAAAGACCTGGAAATGCAATCAGTTATCCAACATGAATCAAAATCATCTATAACCTTGTCAAAAAAGAAAAATCAAAACCATCTAAGTTATTACTAATACTGACCATTTCATGAGAGGGACTCCAAGTTTAACCATAAGATATTTATTACTGAATGGAAATAATAAAAGAATCCCTCAAAAATGACAAGCGTATCAGCAATATTATATATTCAACCACTGAACATGATCAACGTCAAAGTAGGGTTCAAAATGAAGTATGCCTTTCCTTCAAAGAAAACTATAGTTCTCTGCTGTTTGCACCTTGCAAATGCATGAGTGGAACTCCTCACTGCAATGTGATAGTTCTCAATAGTTGTGGTGTAGAAGCAGATCATAAAAGTTCTGATTATGAGAGAGGCGCACCCTTTCTGCAGGAAGATGACATTACTGGTATCCCAAAGTCCAGGTGAGGTTAATAGCCTCGCAGAATCCAGGTCGGATGGGGCCACTGATAGAGCTCTAACCTATGAATTGATGTATTCACACTAGCGAATCAAAATAGTTGTGCCCATTGGCATAGGCAAGCCTGTGGCTATTTAGCAGGATGTGCTCAACGGTTGGAGGTTTCTTTAGCAAATGAAATAATAAAGATAAGAGTCTGGGGGCCAAAAGGTATGGTTAATAACATCACCATCACCTGCCTTCCAAGGAGGCAGATAGTTCAGGAAGCATATCAATCTTGGGCATCAGAGCATGTTCTATGTAGTCCACATATCCTGCACCAATATATGCTTCACTTTATTGCCTTCAAAACCTAGTTTAACAATGTCATAACCTTCACTCAAGGCATGTAATAACACAAGTACTTCGATTGGGTACAATATCACTCACCCATTATGAACAGACATGACCTAACCTCCCTTTTAAAAGGTGACCCATAAACCCCCCTCTAAACGTTCAGAAGGAAAGGTCATCTGATTCTTTCCAATTTTGTCCTTCATTCTTTTTAATAACAAAAAGTAAAGTTCAGAAAGAACTTAATATAGGGGCCTTTTCCTACAGAAAAACTTAGTATTGGGGCTTTTCTCTTTCTTTTTTGCTGTGACCTTTCCTCCCTCTACCCTTTTCTATCTCCCCTTTATCTACACATTTCCGATAAAAATCTACAGCAACCACAGTAGACATTCTCCTGAGGGAACCTAATTCATTATCAAAAAGTGAGAGACAAAGGGGAGAAAAGGGAACAGAGAGAAGTGAAATATATTGCTTTTATTATCTGCTTTTGGAGTCTATTGTTGAATCTTAAAATATTTGCTCTATGGAGCTTCATATGCATTCTGAACGCATGGTCTGCCATAAACCTATTCATGTCTATTTGTTTATTTGTTATCTCCTTCATTATGTTCATTAAGTACAGTTTCTAGAAAGGTCAGTCTATCTAGGAAAATGAGAGGCGTCACTTTTATGGTGGTTCACCCTGAAAGGCTTTATGCCTTTCAAAGATTAGTCATTTTAGTAGTATATTGTCAAACACTGGACCTTTCCTATAATTAATTAATCGACCAAAGGTAAATGAAAAATACACAACATACGACATGTAGAGACACACCTGAGCCTAATTTTGACCCACTTCATTCTTTTGTCTCTTTTCACTCAGCTTGCCATTCTGATAAGCAAAACTGAATTTTCAGCAAATTCTTCAATTATATACTTGCTCATTACTCAGATCTAAGTGACTGTTACAGATATTTTAACTGTATACTAAGCATAGCAAATTTTTCCAGATCTAGATGATCCTTGCTGATTATTTAGATCCCATCTTTCATTTTCCACTTGCTGAATATTCATATTTGATGATTCCCATCAACTTTTGATGCTTTTTAAGAACATTATTTGCTGAAGATATTTTCCACATTTATCTTTTTTCCACCATACCCTAAAGGAATATATTTTATACCCATGCCCTCTTGCTTGTTACTGTGAGATACAAAGATGTGTCATCTGGTAGTGCTTCTAGTAGTATCAATCAGCAAGTGCTGCAAAACTTGTTTAATAAACCTACGGAACAAACTAAAAAAATACTAAGATAGCTCGTTTGTTTCTCTTCTTTTTTTTTCTAGGACAAACTTCAAGGGTTTGAACCCTTGAGCCCCCACACGGCCTCACCCAAACCCATTTCTCTACCACTGAGAGAAACTTATGGGACAAATACAAGAACGCTCTCATTAGGTCTGCCAAATAGAGATGCCAGCAATCAGAGAAATATGATTGCTATTTCACCCCACATATTTTTTAACGCACTAATAGTTCAGGCTCCATATTGAGAAGAGCCAAAATTGGAACAAATTACCATAGTGAAATTCACATGAAGTCTGGAAGTAACCCCGTGATGGGCTCATTTGACTCCTAGCTTTCTTAAGGCTAGAAAGAAATTTGGATATGACAATGAGAAGGTTAAGAAAACAGACCACTTGATCCCAAATTCAATGAATGGGATATCAACAACTAAATTGTCATGAGCTGGCTCTTGAACTCCATGGAACCTTGTATTAATCAGAGCCTACATTTCTTGGATACAGCTTATGAAATTTAAGAGGCAATGAAGGAGCAATTTGCTCAGAAAGATAATATAGCAATAGTGTATCCGCTGTATCAAGATATCATCAGCTGCAAGTGAGATAACACTAGGAGACAATTCATGTAAGTTAAGAAGTATGTGGGATGATGTCACATCATATTCCTTGGACTCTGACATCTCTATCCACCAGATTGAAAAAGAGAATTATTGAATTGCTCAGTTTCAAAAACTGGGGTTTGAGATGAACACGCACCACTCACAACCAGATTAGAGGTCAACAAAAGTTGCCCTTCCTTGATTCAGTCTTTCATGTTCTTCAAATAGAATAGAGGAAGAGAACTATGAACCCGCAACCTTGAGCACCCAACATTGACTGTGAATAGGACCCCACCAGGAGAAGGGTGTAATAATGTTTGCGACAGAAACCTAGCAGAAAAACAAAGCTGTCCTCATTGCAGCAAGACAAATCATACAAACGACAACTGACGGCTTTCACATGGGTGACCAGCTGCCCCCAACATGTAAGGGAAATCCTCAGCTCGAGTTGCTACTACCACTCCATCAATGAAGATATTCCCACAACAGTCTGTTACACAAGCATACTGAAGAGCAAAAAGCCGGTTCCCCACGTCTAGCTCTCAAGACATTCCAGGAAATGCCTTCCCAAATCCCTCCTCACCCTCTGATTGGATCGTATACTCAAGAGCCTCTTCTTATACAACAGGCGCCCCCGAATATTCTTTTTTCAAACAAATTGCAAATACTAAAGATTCTTAGTTGAGGGTTCTAGCACACCAGCCCTTAGTATTACGAATGTGCATAATTGCTGGAAACTTGTAGGAAAGATCACAGACACACTCCAAAACCTCAATCCCACGATTCCAGCTAGGGATCTTGGATGGAAAGCGGATCCCTATATTGCGTTCCTCGTTCCCAACAGGTTTGAACCGCAGTTCTCAAGTGTATGATGCAGTGCATATGATGTTTTCTCGATTCAGCACTGATTCATATGCACTAATTCCAGTTTGTGCCCAAGGTACTATGAACCCACGTATCATTCTTGATCCCTTAAAATATACTATTATGATTCCTTCTTCGTGGAATTGTGCTTCCTTGTGACAATGATCGTGCTCCCTTGTGACAAGGATCGTGCTCCCTTGATATAGGATCGTATGGACAACGATCCCAACCACAGTAGCTTCCAACAATCCATGGTTCTGCGGACCCTAGCCAGTTTCCTCTCCCGGGAACGCACCCTCACCTGACAACTATGCGAATGTGTACATAGCTCCTTGTCCCCTTGATGATGTTTTACATGTTCCCTCCTTTATGTGAGTAGCATAACCAAAAATATTAACTATAGTGGAACCAGTGCAGGAAAAAGCACGCAGTACAAATTCTAACCGCCTGGTTAGATCAGAACTGGCCGGTTCCAGTTTCGGCCAGTTTTGGTGCACCGGCTGGGTATTTTAAACAAAATTCAAAAAATATATATATAAAATCCCAAAAAAAGGGATTTTGTTTGCAATGCATTTTTTAATGCTTTTCATCATTTTGGCAAAGATTGGAAATTTTTTGGGCCATTAATACCTATTTTTGCATTTTTTGATCTTTTTTAGAAAGTTTCAAAAATATCCTTGGGAACAAATTGATTCTTTAACCTCCATTTTTTTCATTAATTCTCAGCTTCATTTGGATGTACTTTATTTAATCATGCTTTAAATATAATTTTTATATTTTATTAAATTTTTTTGTATTTTTTATTTTTTAACACTTTTTTGATTGCCCGGGACTTGCCTGATTACGTCAGTTGAACCACTTCCGGCCCCATGTCGGGTTAACTGTTCCAATTCGAACTTTCCTAAACTGAGTGGAATAGTCTTCCCAACTTACTCGGATGGTGCTTAGAGAGGGCAGATAATTTGTGGGTTGTACATATAACACTTCCACTGCCCTGCGTTCACAACAGGTGGAGAGAGAGAGAGAGAGAGATTTATGGCATTCATGAATGGACCATCCCTCAAGGAGAGTCTTGTATTATTTGCTTCCTTCCTTGAAGTGCCTAAAGTCATCTTGGGCCAAACACCAACAAACCTTCAAAAATTTAACCACCACTCATTTCCTAAGCAATTGGAAAGCTCCGAAACAATTGGCAAGTCATATTAGAAGTTAGACCGCTCCAAATCTCCCATCCCTTTTGAGGCTCCCCCACAGTAATTTGATAAAACTCAACTTCGACGGCTGCTTTCTGGCAACCTAGGCCCAGCTGGTTTTGGTGATCACTTCAGGAACCACAACTACAATACCCTTCTATCTTACTCAATCCACATTCGGCATGTTGATTCCACCACGATCGAGGCTTTGGCTCTCCTTGTGGGTGTTGAGAGATTTAACCAGGAATGGGGGAACTTTTGGTCAAAGAAGCAGCCTGAAAAACGTTATAGCCCTGCCTTGGAGACTTGAACAATTTTTTTAGCAAAATTGCTATTTTGTGTAGGCATATACTTACCTTCTTTCAGCATATGACGAGAGGCAAACTATAGAGCGCACACAGTTGCCAAGGCGGAAGCAAGTTCATGAAACAACAACGAAGCCACTTTGGCAAAAAAATTTAGTTCAGTTACAGAATTTCTGGTTCTTTTGATCTACAGATTTTACTATGTACGTACCATAGAGTGCTTCCATAAGCACCAATTTTTTGAAAAATACCTTACTGTGCTGAGCACCCGCGTTGTGGGTAGCCACACTACAATGTAATTAACTTATTTACAGCAATATAATGTCCATATTTCAAAATAAACAAAAATGTGTCTGAAGTCATAATTGGTTCATGTAAAATCTGTCAAATGCCTAACTTGAGTGTCTTCGGTTTGCCAACAATAAGTTGCAATTAGTCAACCCTTTCAAATAATACATCCAGATGTTTGTGACCATCCTTCTTATTTCGAGTTCATTTCACAAGTACTCTGTCTCATTTATTAATGAATCTCAGGGTGATATATTTGAAGTATTTACACAATTCTATAAGATGATCATCACTCAGTTTGATAATAAAGTTGTATAAGAAATCATATGGAATTTGAAAATAGAAGTATGTCATTTTATTTCCAAGTAATTGGTATAATTCATCAAAGGCTCTAGAATCCAAAAGTTTTAAAATCAGTCGGACTAAGAGTCTAAGACAGAGTATATGGAGTGCAAGTTTAGTAATAATAGGAGTAGAGACGAGGAAGTAGTAAAGATTGACGGCCAAGAAGTACAAAAAAGACTGCAGTTCAATATCTTGGGTCAAAAATCCAGAAAAATTGAGAGATCAAGGAAGATGTCGCACATATAATTAGAGCTAGGTGGACGAAGTGGAGATGCACAACTGGAATTTTATGTAATCGCTGCATACCAATGAGGCTGAAAGGCAAGTTCTATAGGACAGCGGTGAAACCAACTTTGCTCTATGGGGCAGAATGTTAGGAAGACAAGAAACAATATACCTATAGAATGAGTGTAGCGAAAATGAGGACGTTGAGATTGATGAGTGGCATGACAAGAAGAGATAGAATTTGAAATGAATCTATTCGAGAGAATTTGGACGTGGCAACAATAGGCGATAAAATGAGAGAGAGTAGAATTAGGTGGGTTGGCCATGTGTACTGCCGACCAAGTACAGCACCTATTAGGAGGTGCAAGTTAGTTCAAGCGACCCCAATTAATTGGGAAAAGGCTAAATGATGATGATGATGATGATGATGGCATAATTCATCAAACATCTTCGGTATTGAAATCACCAGGGCAGTCCAGGGTAAATTTATATATCAGAGGATATGTTCTGGATCTCCAAAAGGCGACATGGAAATTAGCACTAGACCTGCTAATACTCCAACTGACACTCAAAACCTAGCTGGTGGTTTTATCAACTGTTGGTAGACAGATCAATCTACCTTACTATTATGTGCCTAGATATGATGTTTGCAGTGAGAATGATCAGTCAATTTATGCATGCTCCCAAACTACTCAAATGAATACAGCAACGCAAATCTTACGCTATCTCAAGTCTGAAACTGGTCATGGACTTTTATTTCGCAAACATTCTAATCATGTGATAGTTGGATCCTTAAATACAGATTGGGCTGGTTTCCCAATTGGTTCCCAATCAACTACAGAATACTACTATGCAGGGGGCAATATGGCAATTGGAAAAGGAGAAATCTGTGTGATATTGCTCATTTTATTGCTCATTCCAGTGTAAAAGTAGAATACAGGGCAATGGCATCGACTTCTTGTGAAAGTATATGGCTCGCAAGCTTCTTAAGAATAAAGGCTCTCATGTCACGTCCCCAACTAGACTCCTTTGTTATAACGAAGCTACACATTTAATCTATTATTTCATGAACGCACCACAGATAGAGGTCGATTGCCATTTAACTAGTAACATGGGTTAGACAATGATGAAACCTTCAGTCTTGCCACTAAATCTGACAACATAAGAACTATTCTTTCCTTGACCAGCATAGAAATATGGGAGCTTACAAACTACATCTGAAAAATGCATTGCTCAATGGGCCCTTGAAAAGTGGTGTATGAGGTTCAATCTCTACATCTTACAAGTGAAAATTTCCTCACCATGTGTGTAAGCTAAAGAAGACAATATGTGGGTTAAAGAGGCTCTAAAGGCATGTTAGAGAGATTCATGAAGGCATGATGTAAGAAGAGGGCTTTAAGGAGTGATAAAGAAAGGGATTCGTCCAATATTATGCTGAATATGCATTGTTCATCAATTAAGGAAAATCAGGTATAATTCTTATATTCCTAGTGTAGATAATATGATTGTTACTAGAAATAACAATGAATGGATCATTAAAATAAAGACCAGGTTGCATGAGAGCTTTGAGATGAAGAATCTTGGAAACCTCAATACTTTCTAGTTATAAGAGAACAATGCAAGGGCCTAGTAAAGATATGCCTTACAGCTACTTCAAAAAATTTGATCTACTTGATTACAAGGCAATTGATGCCCCAGCTGCCATTAATGTTAAACTATGTCTGACGAAGGAGAACTACTGAGAGATGCTACTCAATACAAAAGTATGGTTGGCGGGCTTCAATACTTGACCTTCACCAAGAACAGGTACAGCACATGCAATCTACGAACAGTTTGTCAGCATATGGAAAACCAAAGAAAGCCACATCCTGAAGCAACCAAGAGAATCTTAAGGTATATTAAGGACTCACTCAAAACTGCCCCTCAGTATGTGCTTCAATGGATCATTCTCAAAAAAAAAAGATGTACCTCAAGGGAAACCAGAACTCGTAGTCTATACAAATGCTGATTGAGCAGATTGTCAAAAGTTAAAAGGTCCATCGCGGTTTTTTTGTGAATTCTTGGGAAAGAATTTGGTGTCATGGGCAGCAACAAACAAGAAATTGTAGCTGAGTAAGCATAGAAGTTCAATATAGGGAAAAGTCAATAGCTGCATCAGAAGTCACATGGTTGTCCAGCATATTTTTTAAAATTGGAATGACCATGAAATCTCTACAGTGATGTAGACAACCAAAGAGCAATCAAGTTGTCAAATAATCCAGTGCAACTGTCAAGACTACACATTTGAAGATAGATCATCATCAAATATGAGGAAAAGGTTCGAGATAATGAATCTAGGTGATTTACGCACATAACTCGAATCAATAGCTGACATTCAGACCACAGCACTTGTGAATAAGAATTTGATTCAAGATAGACGAAGCTTCCATGTTACCATGTAGGCTTGAGGATGAGTGTTAAGATATGCGTATTATGTTTATTATACTGCATTGTCTCTTGGTTATTTGTGTGGGGCTAACTTTGTCATATAACGCCCTTCATATCCAATATGAACTCGCATGAGAGAGTTAATTTAAACAGATCACTTTTCTCTCTCTAAACCTAGCACCCTCACGTCCGCAATTATATTGTGAGTTGCCTTATTTAGGAATGCATGCCTCCCACAACCACCAGACAGTCCGCAGATTTCTGCTTGTATTATTTGTGCAAATAACATGTCAGGAAAGATGACAAGAACCCCTTATGTTGGTGGGTGAATTCCCTTAGCTACAATCCCAAGATCACGCTTATGGGGTAGATTCAACAGTGACCGTGAAATAATCACCACCTACTACCCCCCGCTCCCAACATAGCCCTAGAGCTGGACATGGAGATCTAGCGAAACACTTTAAACCAAACTCCATGAGTGAGAGAAAGCAATGGTAGGGGACTGCACGTACCAACCAAAGATTGAGTGATTTAATCATGGTTGAAGAGACCCAGGATGAGCCTTGAGCCTTTACATCAAAATTCAATAAGTCAAAAGCATGATAATGAATCCAATTTCTATGAGTATCTTTTCCAAGACAGCGATTTGTCCATGCAGAATCGATATAATTATTACATAAATGTCCCCCATGAATATGCTTGATCATCTTTTTTTCGTGAGACCATCACAGCAGAAAAATCCCGACTTCTCATGAATGCAGCAAAACACGAATAGTAGAAAGAAAACAACACAACAATGTTTTCCCAAGCAAGTCCGATCTCAAATTAAGGTCAAAGAACTTTACCTTCTTGAGGCGCTTGAGATAAATCATCATCATATGGTATATATAAGTAAGGAAAAACCTGCAACCATCAAGTAAAAAGCAATAAGAAAATCAAGGGCAATGGGAAAAGCACCCTAACATTTAACAGGATCAGATAAGGAGTGATTTTTTAGGTTTAAATGCTCAGAAAATGCCAGTAGGAATTTGTGCACACATATAGACACACTGTCATACACATGTGCGTTTTCATCCATGTAAGCATGTTTGCATGTATGCACATACAGTCTACCCAATAAATATTTGCCAGTCTTCATCACTTTTTAAACTATCGAAGCATATTTATTTGTATCTGAATCCATCGAAGAAACTCTGTACAAACGACTTCAAAAGTACTTTAAACTACACCCAGCCAAGGTTAGCAAACAAGCACACAATAATATTAACCATGAATTCTCCAAAATCCCTAGAGGCAGAAACGCTACCAGACCCAATTTTTTAGATATAATTAGCCAAGTCCCACTTAAGTTAGAAAATGTGGCAGAAACTTTTTTGAGTTCACGTAAAATTCTTACTAGTATAATACGAAAAAACAATGCCCCACCATTTCACACATAGCACGATATCCAGATGTTTTTGCTGAGCCTTAGAATTTATAGGGTTAACCAATAAAGATACAAGCAAATCCTTGGTCATGAAGAAATAGTATTGTACCTGGTGAACATGCAAGCAAGTCTTTTGCCCTGCCAAGGTAGATCCATAAACCCTTATAACTGGAACTTCTGCCACTTCTTGACCTTTAAGATTGCTCAAAAACATCAGCAAAACAATTAAAAACATAACTAACTTGAGACACTCATCAAACTCTCATTCCATCTATAACCGCTCCCAAAGAACATCAAAATACGGTGGCTCTATCCCTTGACCTAAATTTAACTGATAAAAAGGAGAAATGCATAAAACACCAAATGTGTGTGTGAGAAATAAGACTATTTGTCACAATGAAACCAAAGAGGAAAGCTCTCTTCTTCTTTTTTTCTTGTTTTTTTTTTTTTTGGATGAAAACATAAGTTAGAGAAAATTGAAATTAAAAGGAAGCAGTATTGACTATTAAGTTAATGAACAGATAATCAATTGTGAATGCCGAAAAAATCAAGTAGTGGAATGAGCTTCACTGCCAATTCAAGACTGTTTGCGGCTCATAAATAGGTAAAAAAGCATGAAACAAAATAGAGAACATTAATTAACTAAAAGTGAAATGGGAGAATAAATAAATAAAAGATAGGGCACAAACAGGTAATCAACTGCGCAAACAGGACAAGCACAAGAATAAGAACCCCGTAAACTCACCAGCTAATTGAAAGATACCTTTAAAAATCACTATAATAGTTCATAAATAAGTACAGACTCAAATGAAATTCTACAAAATAAAATACATTTATGGACAACTAAATGAGCGAGAAGAGCGTTAAACTAGCAATCAAGCATAAAGCCATAACACCAGCATGATTTCACAACGATCATGGAAACCAGAACATAAGAAATCGTCAAATTTGAGGAAATATCAATCTCAAAAACAGGAGATGAACAGCTAATCAAATTACAGCTGAAACTTTTTTTTCTTAAAAAGAAACATATGCAACAGAAATAAATTAAAGAAACACAAAACATTATAGAAGATAAATACCCAGAAAATTATTGTAACAGATGTCGACTTCTGGAATTGGAGGCGCCGTGTAGTAATCAAGAGACACGATTCGAACGCTGAAAACGTTCGAAGAGCCCGGTTCTTTAGCCATTTCAATTTGGGTCTTTCTTACCGCCACACTGAATGGAAATTTATAGAGGATCGTAACTCCTAACATGCCCTTAGCGTAATTTCTATATTTCAAGAATGTCATTAGTTTTATGGTTCTAAAACCCAGGACCAATAGGTCATTAAGGGTGAGTATTTCGTCATTTTACATGTGCCCTTGTGGATGTTATTTTAAAAATATTATATTTGTGAGGTATCCCTATGAAACTTTCAATGCTGAAACGTGTTAGCTACTCCTTAGAAGCATGTGAAGAAAAATAAAAAATAAAAGAGAATTGGGATTTGGGTTGTTTACTAAAAGTCAGTTTGGACGGAACACTAAATAAGATCTGTACTAATTCTTTTTGCGCGGTAACCTGTTTGTTTTTGTCATTTTTTATAGGGCCAAGGCCTTATGAAAAAATAGCTGAGCCACGTATCAAATTTCACTATGATTTGATAATGGTGACTATTACATATAAAAAAATTAAAAAAAAAGATTTCAAATCCTAAAAAAAAATGGATATTATAAAACGTTATAATATGCAAGATCTTTACCATTTTTCGAGCTACAAATTTTATAGTCACCAGTAGAAATAGATTTTATAGCTATCCAGAGAGAATAAGAGGTTTCCGAGAGAATGGAGCAGGATGTGTGAAATAGATTTTACAGCTTTCCAGAGAGAGAATAAGAGGTTTCCGAGAGAATGGAGCAGGATATGTTTAATGGTGTTGTGAAAGAAGCACCTTGTCTAGTGGGGAGGTTAGAGAAAATAGCAGCTTGCATGGTGGTGGGATATTTTTCACCACCATTAAATGATCTGTTTGGTTTAAATAATTGGGCCAAAAGGGCATGGGTTTGTTCTATGAACCCATTGTCGAGAAGATGGAAGATAATATGTGTGTTTTCTTCCTGGAGTCTGCAGAGGATGCGAAAAAGGCTTTGCTTAATTCGATCATTCAGGTTTGAGGTAAGATTGCTTTGCTTAATTCGATCATTTAGGTTTGAGGTAAGATTTTTACTGTTAGGCTTTGGCATATATCTTGTCACTCTTCTTTGATTCAAAAAATTGCTTATTGGGTGCGTTTCGATCAAGAATATGTGTGGTTCCTTTGTTATTGTTAAGGGTGATGATTATCTTGTTCATGTCAAAATTGAAGGTCTTACGTGAACCTCATGTGGTTGGAAAGACAAATTTGAATGAGCGGAAAGCTCCCAGGTCAATAATGATCAGCGGCAGACCGTGGGAAAAAAAAGTATTGTGATGGGCACTGTTGTAGATGTCAATAGAAGGATTGTTGGTCCCAAGAGATCAGCAACAATGGAGGGTGATCGTAGAGATGCTCGAAACCGTACGAGTAGCGGTTTTTTAAAATGTATGGATGCCAAAAAAAAAAAATTTGAAACAAGGGCCGGCACGAATGATAGGGGACGGAGGGATAAATCCAAATTTCATAGGAATCCTAGATTGAATGAAAAATGGTATGATGGAATTTTAAAGGATAGGAGTTTGTGGTAGCCGTGCATTATAGTAGGGGACTCTCTGAATGTGATAAATTAGTGCAATAACATTTCAAGGTCTTGGTGGAGGCTTAGATTGGCGTGGCTAGCTCTAATGGTCTATATTTATCATATAGACATGTCTATAGAGAAGCTAATAAAATAGCAGATTCTTATGTCAATAGAAGAGTAAATCAGCAGTCACTTTAGATTTTGGATGATTTATTTACTTAAAGTTGTTGTAATTCTTTGATAATCAATAAAGCTTCATAACATTTGTCAAGAAAAAAAGAAAAGAGCTATCCAATATATGAGTTTTCTATTATGGATCAAAGTAATGGGTGCGAGGAGACCTTTCATGTGGTTTATTAAAGAGCTGAACCATAGATGCTCTATGTTAGATGTTGTGGTTTATTGAAGAGCTGAACCAGAGACGCTCTATGTTAGATGTGGATTGAAGTCGGAGATTGGGCCTTCGAGGCGATCCGGACAATGTTGACTAAGGTGCTTAGGGTGGTCCTTAGAGTTGTTGAGCTTTTAAGGGTTTTGTGAGCCTAAGGCGAGTAGGTTGAGTTTTCTGTAATAATAGTGGGATCTAGGGAGCCTAGGGCTAGGTCTAAGTCGAAGCTGGCGTTTCTAGGGGCAAATTAATTTGTCATAACTTAAAAGTTTTTTTTTGTTTTTTGGGTAAGTCAGTGGGGGATTTTTACTAATAATGAAAAAAGAGTAAACCTCATAAGTTTACAACCCTATAATAGGACAGTTGTGCTACATCATGAAGTAACGCAATAAATATAAAATTAAGCGGTTTAGATCGCCAATAGTGGCATCTGAAAAAATTATGCCTTTCTTGGCAATAATATCGGCCACCATATCGGCCTCACGATAAATATAGGCTACGGTCCAAGCACGACCTGAAAGCTTACAACGACAATTAGCAACAATAATATTGAATGCTCATGGAGCTTTGCAACAATAACGGATGCAACGAAAAACAATTTAACTTAATGGCTAGGTCTATGCCAGCTTATAAAGCATGAAACTCTGCATAGTTATTTGATGTTATTCCCAAAGGATTGTCAAAAGCAAGCTCGTGATTTTGAAATGAAGCCCCATCAACTCCTAATTTTAAAGTTGGGCACGACGAAGGCCCTTTTGGCCCTAAAAAAGTATGAGATTGGGATTTATATGAAAACCCTAAAATGACGGCCCTGGCCGACTGACGGCTTAATTTGAGCTGTAGATCTTCTCTATCAAAAGATATTTGCAAACATCAAAGGGTATGTTGTAGAATACTGGGGACGTGCACAAAAAAAACATTGTTTTTTAGGTGTTTTGGGTGGTTTAAGGCTGCAAAAATCACCAGTGTAAAAGTTTTTGTCACGGGCAAGGTAGCCTACTATAAATTTTGGGTAGAAATGACTCTAAGTCCAAGAGTTATTCGCTATAAAAACATAGAATTCACCAGTGTGTCAGCCTACGTAGCAAAGGACTAAAACATAATTGCCATAAACATTTATGTTTAGGTTATAACTTTCAAATTAAAAATAACGTTTATATGGTCTCAAGTAAGTACCGCGGTATTGGTTTGATCGATTTAGTGCATATTTATTATCATTGGGGTTTTATTGCATCATAGTTGATTCATCTCTTATTGTTTCTCACACTACTCAAGACATCATTATATTTATCCTTTATGTTGATATTATTGTTACTGGTGACAATTCGAATCTTCTATAATGGTTCATTTTTCAACTTGAAATGAAATTTGTTATGAAAGTTCTTAGACCTCTTCACTACTTTATTGACATCGAAGTATCTTATTTTTTAGGTGAAACTTTTCCATCGCAAAGCAAATATACTTGGGATCTTTTTAATCGTGCTCAAATGCTCGATGCCAAACTTATTTCAATACCAATGGTAATGAAGAATAATATTCATAAAAATTCTGATCAATTTTTTGATCCATCCCTTTATTGAAGCATTGTTGGTGCACTCCAATACATTACCATAACATAACCTGAACTTTCTCATAGTGTTACAACAATGTGTTAATTTATGCACGCCCCTACAATTGCATATTTTCAGGCAGTGAAGCAGATTATTTGTTATCTTAGTGGTACACAGTCCTATGGTATAAAAATATTATTTGATAGTTCCCTTAAGTTATATGCTTTATTTGATGCAGATTAGGTTGGGTGTCCAAACACTCGCCGTTCAACCTCTGGTTTCTGCACCTATCTAGGTTCCAACTGCATGTTTTGGAGTGCTAAGAAACAATTGTCTGTGGTTCATTCAAGTGCTAAAGCGGAATACCGATCTATGACATCCACTGCTGCATAATTGACATGGCTTTATTTTATGCTTCAGGTTATTGAGGTGCCTCTTCTTCAACTACCTACATTTTATTTGTGACAATATCGGTGCTCTCTACATGACAGTTAATCATGTTTTTCGTGCCCGGACAAAACACATTGAGTTGGACTATCATTTTATACATGAAAAAGTTGATCTTGGTTTACTTATCACTCGCCTTGTTTCATCTCACAACCAAGTAGCTGATATATTCACCAAGCATTTGTCACGAGATGCTTTTTGAGATATTTGCTTCAAACTCGGGCTTCAACTGCCTCCTTAGCCAAGTTCGAGGGGGAGTAATAAAACAAAATCCAAACAATATAGGAAAGTGTACTGCTCTTTCATTTCGAAATAATAATGTAACAAACTAAATTAGTGTATATTGCATGTAAGAAGATAGAAAATGTATATTACACCATTATATATACAATGAAATAACCACCACAAAAATTGTGTGAGACAAAATTATTTTTTCAAAGAGTTTATCTCTCTCTTGAATTTCTTTAACAACATCTACTATAATTTGAAGGCTAAAGAGTTACATTAATTTTAAGTGATATTTTATTATTGTATTCATCTTATATATTTTATTGTTTGTTTTTTATTTAATTATATTGTATTGTTTATCATATCATTTTATTTCATTTCATTCATGTCTACGAGAATTTAGAGTTAGCTAATATCTATTTAAAAAAAAAAATTCAATTTTTTAAATAAATTGCTGTATGCAGTAGTATTTTATAACTTTAATTTTTATTAATTTTTATTTTTTTAGAAAAACATCATGCAGACCCCTAATTTTTAAACTTATTACATAGTAGCCCCTCCGAACTTTTCTCTTTCAAGTGGCATTAAATTTATCCTAAAACTATCAAATTTCCCCTAAACACTATTGTTTCCTCTTCTCTCACCTATCTACATGAATTTTGACATTAATATGATATCTTGATGAGGTATAAGAGAAATTGTTGATGTCAAATTTTTGTAAAACATGTGAGAAAATAGGAGAGGGATAGGATGAGGAGGTACATTAATAGTTTTAAAAAAATTTTAATGCCACCAAGTGAAAAGTTGGGAGGGGCTATCATGAAATAAGTTTTAAAATAGGAGGTCAATATGATAGCGTCCTTTTTAGTTTTTAACGACTTTAGTGAGAATAAAATTTTTAGAGTAATTTGCAATCTCATCCATTTCTGCGCATTGTCTATATTTATTCGCTATTATTTTATATAAATATAAATTAACTTCATATAATATTTTTATGTTTAATGCATTTATGCATTCGACTTGTAAAATCAAATGTGAGATGTTTTCACACTTTTGTAAAACTGATTGCTTGCCCTAAATCAAATAAAAAAAAGCAGTAGAAATTAACAACAGTAAAATAAAAAACGGTGTAAGGTCATCGACATTATTTTAGAAAAGCTTGTAGCTTGTAAAAGGTGTCAACCTTAAACAACTAAAGTAAGATGCACAACACGCACCTCCAAATCTCGTTATAAGATGTAATTTTTGTGCTGGAATCTCTAACAATGGCATGCAAGCTTGTTTTTTCTCATACTTATGAATTTAATACTAAAAATATAGTACACAATGAAGAGATATACAAATGCTTAAAAAATGAAAAGAAAAGAATAGATAATCAAGATAGTGTATTACACGATGCATTATTTTTAAGACTCGGAGTTCTTTTTTTTTTTTTTCTTATGTTTTTATGAATCCAGAAGTCGATATAAACAATTGGTGGGTTCTTTAGCATCCAAACGACATTTTTTTAATTGGGCTTTTGAGGTGTGTCTCAATTCTACAAAGATTGATGCTTTATATGAACTTTTTCTTTTCAAATATCTAAAAAAAAAAATCGGAATATCTATATGGTGTCAACTTTTTAATATTTTATCTATTTATTGTGACGTAATTTCAATAATACCTAACAAAATATACATCGCTTGGAATAGTTGAAAAAGTGATATAGTATTAAATTGCTTAAAACTTAGGTACATGTTGATAAAGGAAAAAGTTCATACGAGGTTATAACCTCGTAGCAGTAAAGCAAAGTGCACATAAAAAAATAGGAAAAATTACGAATATATCCGTTATAGTTTGCGTTATTACAAAATTACCGAGTAGTTTCCGTTATTACCTATATGTCTGTTTTTTCATGTCATAATGAAAGTTTTTTTAAAAAGACAAATTTATCATTTTCAACAACCAAATTCAATGGATTTGAATAATCCGAAATCACGCCAATTTCTCAAAAACCAAAAATTCAAAATTATCAATTATTAAAAAACATAAAAAAATTTCGGTTATTCAATAACTGAAATATTTTTCCTAGGTACTCTGCTTATTCTCTGGATTTTCAGTTGTTCAACGACTGAAATATTGTATAAACATAAGGAAGAGTTAAAACCCTAAGGTATAGAAAGAGAATGGATAAACATAAAAGATAAAATAAATAAAAACAGACAAGAGTTTAAACTCACTCAAGATATAGAGAGATAATGAGTAAATATAGGAGAGTGAATGGATAAATATAGGAGAGAGTCTAAACCCATCCAATGCAAGGCATAGAGAGAGAATGAATTGGGTGGGTTTAAACTCTTCTCTATCCTTTAAACTTTCATTTACGTTCTCTATACCTTAGATTTGGTGGGTTTAAACTATTTTATGTTTATCCATTTTCTCTTTATACCTTACGGTTTAAATTCTTCCTTATGTTTATCCATTATCTCTTTACAATGACTAATCTACGCGGATAAACATCGGGAAGAATTTAAAGGGAAAATACAGGTAAAGCATGGGTGAAATAAAGGTATTGAATTTATGTTGTTCAACAACCGAAAAAAGAAAAATCCATAGAGAGAGAATACGCAGAGTACTTACGAAAAAAAATTCCGTTATTGAAGAACTGAAAATTTAAAATTTTGGGTTCTTCAACCACCAAAAATTTTGAACTTTGGTTTTTTAAAAAAGGTATGGTTTCGATTGTTGAACCACCGAAAATCCATTGAATTCGGTTGTTCAACAACCGAAAAATGTTAAAATTATATTTTTTAAAAAATTCCATTTTAACATGAAAAAAACAGACAGATAGATAATAAACGAAACTATTCGGTAGTTTTGTAATAAAACAAACTATAATGGATATGTACTTAATTTTTCCTAAAAAACATTATAAAAAAGAGTGTGTGGATCGACTATTTTCAATAGGGCAATCTTTCTATGTTTCCCCTACAACATAGAAATTATATCCTCCCCTTTATCCAACCGTTCATTTTGAATGGAGGGTTAAGATTGTCCCAATCACAATGTCACGTCTCTACACTATTTTATTTTTATTTATTTTTTTTATAAATTATTTTGATACCAAATTCTGGGTGTCCATTCCTCTTTTAAACTCGCACTAACGAAAAAATATAAAAAAATATTTTCAATAAAATAACATGACCAACATACTTCAGAAAGTTTCAAGGGTATTTTGGTCATTATATTTTATCGAAAAATTAATTTTAATATTTTTTATAGGTGAACCCAAATGAGAAGATGATAAGTACCAAATTTCATATTAATACGAATTGATAAAAATAAATAAAAAATAGTAATTTTAGACATCGGATCTAAGATCAAACGGTGAATGACTCTCTTGATCATAATTAGACGGCTGGATGGTCGGAGGTGGATAAAACTTCTATGCAGTTGGGGAAGCATATAAACCTTTCCCTTTTCAATATTTCTAAATGTTTATTAATCTACCATACCTTTAATATTTTATAAATGTTAAATTTTATAACTCAAATTAAAAATAGTTTTTTAAGCAATCATAAGATTTCCGACTCATAATATATTTGAGAGCTAATTTGAAGGACTCTCCCTACTCGCGGTATAACGAGGAAACTTTATATAAACCTCACGTGTAAATAAATTTTCCTATTATTAATTCATAAAACATAATTTAGACAACCCTTATTGTTATGGTTTGACATAGCTGCAACCTTCTCAAAATAAGTAAATCTTCAAATTGCAAGTCAAGTATTGAAAATTTTACATCAATCATCTCTACTTGAACATTATAGTTGTAAAAAAAAAATTGAGTAATTTAAATACTAAAAATAGTGTATATTATAACATATTATTTTGACCGTCCATTTTGTTTTAAAAATAAGTGTTTACGTGTCCGCAGCGAATGTACCATTTTTTGAGTTTCAAAAATTTTTATTGGAGGTGTTGGAAAATTATTCCTAGCATTATTTGAGTTTCAAATTTTTTAGCTTTAATTTTAAATTTTTATTTATTTTTTAAGTAATTCAGTAGGATGAGTCAAGCGTTTTTTTAAGATATTAGTCAGAACCACGGCTTCTGCCTTCTTTTTCTTTCCTTGTCTCTTACTCTGGACGCTGCAGATCCTTCCCAGACACTGTAGCCCTCTCTCTGAAATATATCCAAATCCCCTAAACTTCACCTCGCATTTTCTCTCTGTCCCCATTATCTAGGTCGCATTTTGGTTATCTTCTCCCTCTAAAATTACAGATCACATTCTATTATTCTCAAATCAATCCCTACTTAGACCTGTTTGACCTTTTTCTATCTCATATTCTATTTCTTTTTCTAATTTTTATGGGCTTTCATGTGAAATTAGTGAAGAAAGAGGGGAGGTGCAGTTGATCAGCGAGATGAACAGCGGGTCGAGTGATGGAGAAGGGCAGGAGCCCAAAAAGATACCATCGAATTCCTCAATGTTGTGGGTTCGGAACCTTCGCCGCTACGTTCGCAATCGTGCTGGATTGGGCTCGGAGGCGTTAATGGGTCTGTGTTTTGTGTTTTTTACTTCATTCTCAAGTTCACTTTATTTTATTTACTTGAAGTTAGTCAGTTTTTTTGCTCTGCTCTGATTAAGTAGTCAGTTTCCCCCTTAAGGAAATTCTATTCCTTATTCCTGACATTGTTTAGGTTTACAGAGTTTTATTTATTTTTTATTTTTTGAGAATATTTACTTATCAGAGTTTATAGTTTTATATAAATAGAATAATCCCTTATTTTTTCTTTAGATAATTTTATTTTTTTGTGCTTTGTCTTCATAGATTTGATTTGATTTGATTTTGTATGCATGATTTTCCGCTCCATTTAACAATTCTATTTGAGATTTCCTTTTTTGGGAGATTTCAACTTCATAGATTTGATTTCATTTTATATGCATGATTTGCTCTTCCATTTAATAATTATATTTTACTCAATGTTATTCTCAACAATTATATTCTATTCAATGTGATTCTCATATGCAGAGCTTGAAACAAAAAGGATATTACTCGATATATTCAAAGAGAAGCAACAAAGGAATGCCGAAGCTGGCGCAATTCCAAGCTTCTACAAAAAGGTTTTCATTTAACTCCATAGGTTTAGTGATATTCAGGTTGTATGCTTATTTTTGTTATTTTTCATCAAAATTTGACCTTTATATTATCGCAGAAACCAACAGAAGGGTCTATAAGTAACAGAGTTCAAAGATTGGCGAAGTTCAGGTTCTTGAAGGTGATATCAATTGACCCAATTTTCATACTGTCATGTTTTATCATTAACGTTCCATTTAAGAAAGAATCCTCCTGCTGCAAACACTTTAAAGGACTTACTTTCATTCAGAATAAGCCATGTGAAATTATACTTTTAAAAAAACCCATTTGAAACTCATCTCTAAATCTCCAACCCCCATATCGAGGCGTTGGGTTTTGATATGTTTGTGTTTAATATGCTGTCTGGTTTGGTACTCCACCACTGTTCCTTACCTCTTCAGTACTGAATCTCTTCACATATGAATTGTACAGCTACACTGGCAGCTATTCGAGTTACGATATTTTTAGCAGCAGAACTTGATTTGCAACTTCATTGTACTTATGACACCTATCGTATACATAGTTTACTTAAGTACATTAATTGCATATATTTGCATAGAAACAATACCAAGTATGCATATGACATGCTTCTCAATATGTATTTTTTATGTTGGAGTGATTTCAGTTGATTGTGTGCTTTGTATGTCATGGATGGCACTTCGTTCCAGCCATGACATTAAGCTCAACTTCATATCATTAGGTCAGTCAACTATACATGTTTGCTATTATATTAATGCTTACAATGTACTGTCAATTTTGGTATTCAGTTGTTTGGGCTTTTATTCCTAGGTTCTATAATGTCGATTCCTTCAACTTGATTTTTGCAGAAGCAATCAGATTTGTTGCTGAATGCTGATGATTTAGATGCCATGTGGGTTTGCTTGCGCGAGAAATGCGTGGTCGATGACTCCACAGGCACTGAGAAGGTCAGTGGGTATACGTTAATGTTTCTTCTAACATAATCATGAGTCATTTCAAAGTTTCCATTGTTTAACATATTAGTAGTCATATATAATTCTGCTTGGTATTGGTACTCTTTGTAGAATGGCTGTACCATATGATGGGGAGCTCTTGATCATATGTGTTGAACACTAGTAATGGAATTAGACTGGACTAGTTCATTTGTCACTTGATTTAGTGTTTGCTCATTTTTTCCCCGGAGGACTTAGATATTGATCATGGCCCACTGGTCACCGATTGGTTCAAAATTTTCAGCCATATCAACTGAATTAGGAAAAGAGGAAAAAAGAGACGTCCTAAATGAAATGCATCCTCTTATTTAGCCCAACAGTGGATTTAGTGGTTCAGACCAGTGGCTAGCCAAATATCATATTTATTTTTTAGAACACGGTGAAATAAAAAATTTGGTCTGTCTGGTTGGTTCAACCTGGATCAAACTAAACCAACTGGTAGGTAGTCCAGAAACCAATTCACTGTGGTTGTAATTCTATTGCAAATTTAAACTGCATGTATATAAGTTGCCTAGCTCATTTATGCATGACACACATGTCAGTCGTTGTACTCAGCAAGTAACCAATCTCAAACAGTATTGCACTGAATCTCTCTTGCAGATGAACTATGAAGATTTTTGCCGCATTGCATCTGTGTGTAGTGAGCAAATTGGTCCAAAATGTCGACGTTTCTTCAGTCCTTCAAATTTTATGAAGTTTGAGAAGGATGAATCTGGAAGAATAGCTATTCTGCCATTTTACCTCTATGTGATGCGCACGGTGTGTATTTTGTTTTTTTTTGCCATCTTGAAATTCAAAATGAGATTCACAATGAAAGGATCAATTTGTTTCACTTAATATGGGTTGTTAAATCTATGATCATCATTATAATAGCCTTTTCCCAATTAATTGGGTCAGCTACATAAATCTTGGTCCACCATTCTGCTCTATCAAGGGCCATACCCTTAGTGAAGCTATAAGTCCCCATATCTTTTCGAACTATTTCTAACCACGTATTTTTTGGCCTACCCCTTGTCCTTTTTGAACCTTCTACTTCAACTAACTTGCACCTCCTAATAGGTGCTGTACTAGGTCTGCGCCACACTTAATTTGTAAAAGATGTAATTTCCCTTTTGCTTCAATTATTTAAATGCATAACCGTCTACACTATGTCGTGATATGTTTTTTTTTAGAATAAATATACTAGTCACTGTCTTTGTTGTATTGCTTTTCAGGTTTCACTTACACAAGCACGAATCGATATGAGTGAACTGGATGAAGATGATGATGGGTTTCTGCAACCTCATGTATGAAACACTGGTACATCACTATTTTATTATATTGCAGTTTGAGATTTGAGTTCATGACATAATTAAGCAGCATCTATAGTTTGAATAGCTATGTGATGTTTCACTACTGATATTTGTGGTTAATTCTTGCTTTTTGTGTTGAAAATTTTGGTTTTTTGAAATGCTTCATTTTGCTCTATAGGAAATGGAGGCTTATATTAGAGGCCTTATCCCAAATCTGGCACAGCTTCGAGATATGCCTGCTGCATTTGTTCAGATGTACTGTCGCATAGCTGCTCATAAATTCTTCTTCTTTTGTGACCCTCAAAGACGAGGTCTGCTTCCTTTTCTTAGGGATTGGAGTGAAAGAAGTAACACAGTTTTATAGTGCAATAGATGTTAGAAAGCCTCATTCCTTTTGGGTCATTGGCTTCCGTTAAAATGACAAAAGTGAGGAGAGAGTGTAATCTACCATTGGCCTATTATGGTTGGTCTCACTTTCTCTTCATCACCTTCCATCATTTCAGTGGATGCTGATGATCCCAACATACTATGGTTCCATGTTTCATGAAATTGAGACTTTCCCTTGTTATTTGACTTCTTTAAGCTGGCCAAGGTTTTATTCCATTTGTACATTTTAGAGGCATTGCTATGACATCTATTCCTTAACTCAATTTTTATAATGCTTTTTGTATACATGTATATTTCTTTGGTAAGAATTATACTTTTCATATATGTCAAGCTTCCAAGTTGATGTGTTATAACGTTCAAAATAGATTCCATTCTCAAGAGAAAAAGGATACTTAGCTTTGAGTTGATTGCAAAAATGTGACAATTCATAATGGATTAAGTTGTATTTCTTTCTTATTTTGCTTATGAAGATTGCCAAGTTTGTCTTATGTTTATGTTGGGTCTAGTGAGTACTCATTTACTTATTTTGTTCACTTGTTTGACATTCATTATTGCTCTAAATTTGATGCTTGAATATGTTACCTGGTAACCTGGATTGACTCCTTTGCTTTAGGAAAAGGCATTTCTCTTGCACTAGTTAAAATACACTGTAACTCAGACCATGGTGTTCACTTTAGAATTATCAATAATCCACAGTTTTGCTGGGTCTTGTTTTATGAGATCCATGGCTTTTTATTGGCAGTTCTTCATTTATTAGACATTATTGGCCTGTTGTACAATTTCTACATGTCTTTCCCTATTGCTTGATGACAATCAGTTCTCACCATCATTCTTTTCCCAACTATTTGGGGTCGGCTATTAATAGGTACTCAGTTCTCACCATCATGGTACTCCTATTAACAGATTTGAGGAGCCTCATAAGCACTCTGGATCATTGTTCGTAAAATCGATCCGGAACGGTTAATCGGACATGGGCTCAGAAGTGGTTTAACCGGCCTAACCAGTAAACCGGCTGATTCAATCGCTCTAACCGGGCAAGTCCCGGACAGTCAAAAAAGTGTTGAAAAAAATAAAAAAGATACAAAAAAAAATCTATTAAAATATGAAAAGCATATAAAGAATGATTAAAACAAAACACATTCAAATGAAGTTGAAAATTAATGAAAAAAATGAATTTTAATGAATCGATTTGTGCCTAGGGGTATTTTTAAAATTTTATGAAAAAGATGGAAAAATATAAAAGTGAGTATTAATGGCCAATTTTTTTTTTTTAATCTTTACCATAATGTAAAAAACATTAAAAAATGCATTACAAATCAAATTTCTTATTTTTGGGAATTTATATATATTTTTTTGATTTTTTTTTTTTAAAAATAACGATTGATCACCAAAACCGCCCAAAACCGGAACCGGGCGGTTAGTAGCTAGATTGCCCAGTTTTGCGAACACTGCTCTGGATGCTTGCTTTTTTTTTTTTTTCTAGATTGGGGATATCTCCTGCTTATGAAATACCAACTGTTTTATTCAAAAAATAAATGGTCATGAAAGAAAATTCACTAAAAGAAAGTTTTTCAGATGTTCCATATAACGAGTAAAATTTATATGGAAGATTAGATTAAGTTATGAGACATCTTCTTTCTGTGGCCTTTGTTCAATCAGTGTGACATGTTCAATCAGTGTGACACGGGCTTTGCATGATGGAGATCACAATCTTTGAAGTTTGTTCCTCATGAACACCAAGTCATGGTAACTGAAGAAAAAGTAAAAAAAAATCTTGAAACAGTTCCATCACAATTTTTTGTGTTTATTTTCTTCGATGTAGGATGTTTGAAGGACCCTTTTTGAATTGTTCGAATACATATAGATAACTTGTGAGTATTTGTCATTTATTTAGTAGCTATATGGTTTTGTCCAAGTGGTCTGAATCTTTTGTCTTGTCGCATGCTATTGATGATAAACTGGAAACTTGTTGCATCAATGAATTTCTCTAGTTTTTCCTTATTTGTTTATTTCCCTGAACCATGCAAGTATGGTTTT